ATTGGTCATGAGTGAGAATGCATTGCATCTCGACTGGCCATCTGCATGAGCACGCCTGTTTCACGACAGAGACACAATGCCTCGAGACGAACACAACGACAACCACAACAACTCAACAGGCCCACGTCCACTGCACTCAAATAAACGTGCCACACACACACACACACACACACACACACTCACGTAGCACACATGATATTGCTCACCAACCACACCACAATGGTGAACAGACCTGCACTACCATTTGAAAAATTCATTCACAAACATTCATCTGCACACAACCAAGTCGACGAGTAATACCGAGAACTTGTTCATCATCTCCTCTCAGCTCGCTCAACTAAACAAAAGCAAAGCCAATATGTGCTGAGATACACTAGGGGAAAAGCCAACAAGCACGGGTGAGAATGACATCGTCCCACCCACCTGAACAATATATGGAGCGAGCAACAATGATTATGCGAAGTAACACGAATCACCAGAGACTGCCAACAGGCAAACCGATGGATGCAGCACACTTCCCACTGTCTGTCCACTACACTGCCAACACACTCGATTCACACTCACACTGAAGTACACAGAAAACAATGATCAATGACTCACGGTATGCTGTGATATTTCTCAGACTCGGTCCACTGGTAATATTGAGCCTGCTGCAGCCACGAACCAGTATGTCAGTCATGTCCACTTGACTCAGCTGTGAAGCTCGTGGTGAATGGAACTGCACACTCAGCATGGCTTGCACACCGTCGATCGACACACGATCCACTCCACCTCCACCTCCACTCACATATATCCAGATGAAGATTCGAAGGAAGCTGACATGCACACAGCTGGCACCTCGAGAGACCTCTTCATCACCGATCTGAAGACCCCTGAGTACCTGGAAGATGGAAGACGAGAGAAGCAAGGACAACAACACAGTCAGTCATGTATCTCGATCACTTCGTGAAGAAAATCTATTATTTGTGGTGGATTAAATTCTGTATGACTTTTGCTGTTGATTATTTGATCGTCGTCTGCTGCATTCTCCTCACTTGTTCAGTCCCGTTTTTCTTTCACCCTCATTTTCTGGAGGCTGCAATTGTTATCACATATTTTCAGAATGTGATTTCAAAAATTGTTGAAATGCAGCTCTTGCTACTCTCTGCCACCTCCTCACTCTCCCTCTATCTGGAGCTCTCTTTTTAGCACCCATTGAAATGCCACACGTAACACAAAGACCTTTACTGTAGGTGATCTCTTCAAATATTCCACCCGCCATCCCACGTACAACATTGGGAAAACTGCCTCTAAAAGCCACTGGGAGAATCTTTGTCCCCGCGAAAATTCATACCTCTATCTCATACTCACCACTACACTTTTGTTAACATCTCGGATATTTACCATCTTCCAAACATCTGATACTCGTGCATGCATTCCACAGGCTTCTCATGAATGGATGAAACTCTAAGAATCCACCTGTGTCAATATGCTTGATTTCGTGGATACCTTTCCTATTAATCACCAGAATACACTCATCTCAAATCTTCCACACTGACCTCACTGAAACTCGACAGGCGAATATTACTATCCAATCCTGAGCAAAAGTGTGAGGTGAGCGAAAAATGGTTGGAGATTCATGTCGTGGAAGTATCAATGAACAGACCAACGCCAATACACAACTGTTCACAATACTCCCACACACCTGCATACGCAACCATGCATTGAGTTGCATACACGCAGATCAAAACAAAAGTATGATGAACATAACAATTCCACACCTACCAGGTCACAAGACGATATTGACAAGCTCCTGAACTCGACACTCGACTTATTCAACAGATTGACTGTCCAAGGCATGGGGGTTGACAGCTCCTCAATATAGATGATAACATCCACTTCAAACATTGTGTTCACTAGAAGCATGAAAGAAGAAATGGGGACAAACTCCAATTATGTGAGCATGATGGTTTGCGCTACAATAATTCACAAGTTTCACTCATCAAACTTCTGATGTAACAAGTGGAAATAGCTTAACCACTCTCGACGGCCGACGTACTAACAGATGATTTGTTCATGGTCATCTCGTCAGGTCGAAATGCTAGGAAATGCCGATTCTGGATCGAGTGGGTTACACTCGATTGAGTAACACATGTTAAGGCTAAAGGTAAAACCATTTTCACTGTTTTGCTGTCAATCAATGTCTCAGCAGCTGAAGTATTTCAGTCGTAGTGGAACCCATTTAGCTATGTGAAAACAATCAAGATTCAAGCTGTCTGTCCTCTTTGTCACAAGTGTCGATGTATTTCTACACAAGGTGGATGAAACGAATGGACAAAACGCAATTTTACCAATCATAACCTTCACATCGAAATACATGTATACATCCACATATATATGTACTTGCATTCTTCGTTATCTATAACTCACTCTATTTTATCTGTGAAGCCACACACAATGATCTTGCTTTCTACTGAGTAAACAATAAACCATATCTGATGAATGCCATTCTTGTAACCGTTCATTTCAAGCGTGCGTATATATTCATTCTCGCATCTTGGACTACACAATGTTAGTAAGGAAAATTTTGCAAATATCTGCATACTTATGAACTTCATCTGTCTAGCTTCTGAAGCCAATAAATGTTGAGCAATTGTATGTTGTCAAATTTTCACTTGTTCGTCGTTGGTTGTAGAGAACTGAGTTATTGTTGTCCAACTCATCTGTTTATGTTTATGGTTGGGACAAATTGATGGGCATGTGCTAGATGGAATTTCGTTGGACAGTGGGTTTTATCCATATTGATATTGACTGTTTCTGGTTCGCCTAACATACATGTTCTCGAAAAAAAGTTACACGATTATACTTAGTCTCATCAAATGTCGTGTGGACTTACGTTCCGATATTTAAGTACTCCGAATCGGAAAATGTGCTTCATTATATTTCGGATCTCCCAATGACGGAGTTTTATACTTCAAGCAAGTTGTATGAGGAAGGAGACAGGAATACTTTCCCTGGAGACATGCCATGGCCTGTTTGTTACAAGGAGATGATATTGGTCCGCTGAGTAACGATGAGACGCATAAGGTACGTCTTTTGGAGCACCTCAGGTATGAGTTGCCAATATTCAACAGAAACGCATCAAAGTGTCCATGACTTTAGCAACAAAATGGTGGTAATATCAAGTGTTGATAGAATAAAAATCAGTGTAAACCGATATATTTTAAATGACGGTGGACGACAGAGGTTACCACAGTGACAAGAAGCTGTTAAATGACGTACTGGGATTGAGCATTATAAGCGAAATGAATAGATATAGTGCCTGACACGTCATGAGCTTATCATGTTTCGACAGTCGCATTTGTGGAAGTTAAATCAAAGACGATTCGTGAAACTCAAAACCTTCGAATGCATGGAAACACACTTGCTCTCAGAACAAACTCCGATGAATTGAAGAAGCCAAGAGTGACTGTAGTTGTCACACGATGTCTACCAACCGAGTAACAGAGAAAGTGCTTGATGAGAGGCGGTAGAATGGAAAATGACGGCAGACAACTGAGATTCGCTGACTTTTCAGCTATCATCGAACGAAGTGTGAATCAATTAATGAGTAGACACTGAGACACCGTGCTAAAGCAAAACTGAAAGGAAGCATTCAGCGAACGTGATTCATTGACGAAAGAGGCAGTCAGAGGTGATACGTTGATGAACAGGCGTTCAAAATGAAGAAATTCATATGGATATAAGTGAGTTCTGGTGCAAAAAGGATAGTAAAATGAAACACAATTGCAATACGAAAGGAAATAGATTTTAAAATATGTGCCTAAAATTAGAAAAAGAGGCATTCGCACATAATACAATCCATACAAAACTCACACTAATTACTACTCCAAAGCTCGAGAAATCTCAATCAACACTTAGATGAAACACTACACATTAACATTCCCAGTCACAGTCATTGATATCGCATAGGTGCTCCTGTTCATGACCATCATCAGCATCATGATGTTCAACGCTTCATGATGATATTGTAAGCAACAAGCTCTTTTCTCCTGCTCACATCGACACCGACTCTGACGGCGTTGTTCATTGGATAGTGAGAACGGACTGTCTAGTGGCTAGTGCCAAATATATTCAACCTAAAAGATATCTGTGGTTGTGGACACTCCCCTTGTCACTCACGTGTGCATTCTTTTCAAATACCGTTGATTTCCATTAGTAACATACAGTCTCTTTGGGACTTCTTCACCTCCGTTTGTCGTCATTTAGCATACTTCCTAATCTCCAAACCTGAAACCATTGCAAATGAAAATATTGCTGGAGAGGCAAGCGAGAATCCGTTTGGGAATGGAATGACGGTATTTGAGCGCAAAACAACACATCGTTACATTGTGCGGATTCATTAGATATAATTGTCAGAATTCCACGAAGAGCCATGGAGTAGGAGATGTAGTTGTGGTGGTGATCAAAATGTCTTCAAGTGGCTGGCATCTTGAAGAGAGTATGAGTGCCTACACAAGTGAAGGTGGTCTGGTGAATACCGTTGAATGACGGACTGAATAAGTAATGGATATTGTAGATGTGCGAGTATATCCTTCAAGGATTTGTGTGAACGAAGAAAAAAGGGAATCTGAAAGCGCACCGAAATCCCCAAATTCAAAGGATCGTGAATCAGAGAAGAGGAATTGAACCACGTTGAGGTTTACGAAGGTAAACGATGAAAAGGAGGGCGACATCAGGGAGTAGCACGCAAATAAGAAAGGAATAATCAGGCTCAAATCAAATGACAAAAATTGTAGAAGACAAAACAAGGCGAAAAGTGGAATAGGAGAGAAATGAGTCAGAATCACCATAAATCAAAAAATGCTTAGGTGTTAAGTTTTATACTGACACATACGAGTCCAAAAAGTGAGTCAAAAGGTGGAAAAACAAACTCCCCAAAGAGACAACCTTCTCATATAAACACTGATTACCTCGTATATGACAAAAATGTCATTCAAAGAAAATATGTTATCACCTACACATAGTCGGTGAAGTTGAGGACGATGGAGTGAACTGCTTCGAGACACTGACCTCACTCTGCTCGGAACCACCTCGCATCTTTGAAATTCCTGTAGACGACCCTGTCAACAAACAAAAATCGAAGAAAGACATGAACACACTGAAATACAGAATAGATGAATCACACGTCATGAACGAACAAGCACTGCAGTGAAATACACACATGTTTCAAACACCACAACACTCACCAAACACACAAGGCTGACTGATGACCAGACTCACTCAATCTAACGAAACATTGATTCACAGACATTCATCTGCTCAAAACACGCCAACGAATAACACCAAATCATAGCCACCATCTCTTAACAGGCTGCTCAACAGAACACAAACCAATACAACACAGCGCAATACATGCACAAGCAAGAAAGACAGCGCCTCACCAACCAACCAACTAACCAACACACTGAGCAAACAACCGAACTGCCAAGCAACACCGATCACCAGAGACTACCAACAGGCAAACCGATGGATGCAGCACACTTCCCACTGTCTGTCCACTACACTGCCAACACACTCGATTCACACTCACACTGAAGTACACAGAAAACAATGATCAATGACTCACGGTATGCTGTGATATTTCTCAGACTCGGTCCACTGGTAATATTGAGCCTGCTGCAGCCACGAACCAGTATGTCAGTCATGTCCACTTGACTCAGCTGTGAAGCTCGTGGTGAATGGAACTGCACACTCAGCATGGCTTGCACACCGTCGATCGACACACGATCCACTCCACCTCCACCTCCACTCACATATATCCAGATGAAGATTCGAAGGAAGCTGACATGCACACAGCTGGCACCTCGAGAGACCTCTTCATCACCGATCTGAAGACCCCTGAGTACCTGGAAGATGGAAGACGAGAGAAGCAAGGACAACAACACAGTCAGTCATGCATCTGGATCATGCTATTTTGAAAATCTGTTATTTGTAGTGGAGGTAATGCTTCCATTGTGGTTAGTAATATGATCACTGATGGTCGATTCTGATTCCTCGCACTCCACCTGACTTTTTCGATGTGTGAGGATTTATCTGTGCCAAGATGCTTCATTCATTCCACCGATAGCCTTCTCACTAACCACCATGTTACAGTCACCTCACGTCTCTTGCATCCACCACACTCCTAGTCGACAGGCAAACATTTCTATCCGATTCTGTGTAAGAGTGTGTTGAGAGGAAGGAACGGGAGGAGGGTGATGAGGAGAGGAAGAGGAGGGTAGGCATATCGGTGGGGGATCTTTGCACGGAATGATGACCAGTCACAAACGTCAACAGTATTCGTGCACACTGGCCTACACTACTATGTGCAATCTAGCGCACAAACACAGACAAATACACGAAACTCAATGAAAATTACAACTCCACACTTACCAGGTCACAAGACGATATTGACAGGCTCCTGAACTCTACACTCGACTGATTCGACAGACTGGGTGTCCAAGGCATGGGGGTTGACAGCTCCTCAATATAAATGATAACATCCACTTCAAACACTGTGGTCACTACAAGGGTGGAAGAAGAGAGGGAGACAAATCAAGGGATATAAGCATGACGGTTTTTGTGACAAATTTTCACTTCTTTCACATACTGAATATCTCATGTGATAATTGATAACGACCTCAAGGTTGTCAATGGTAGCAGCACTTACGCTTCCGTCAAACAGATTGCTTTAGAAACGACCATTCCGTATCTTGTGGTTCACATTATCTTTGTGAATAAGTGTCATAGTCATAAGGAATGTATTTTCACCACTTACTTCTCAGTCGACACTGAATTTGCTACAGTATTCTAGTTGTTGCGCTACTAAAATCAATTCAGCTATCCTGAAACGCTTGACGTTCCTCCTACCTCTCCTAGTTCCCAGGTGTTTCGCTGTAGCTGTTTGACTATCACCACCTGCAAACGCAGATACATATGGCATCGATAAATTAGCTCGTGTTGATGTATGCATGTATGTTAGCTTACTCTTACTGACGGAGTGACTGAAGTTACTTGGATTTCTGCACGTTTTATCAATGCATTTCTTCTCGTGTAGGCCGACTCAATGACTCATTATTTCTAGGAGCATGTGAAATAAGTCACTTTACGGCGACTGGCATCTAGGCAAGGGGTAAGAGGAGAATATTTTGCAAACATTTTTATGTATATGAACTGTATCCGTCTAGCTGCTGAACTATATACATTGTTAGGTAATTGTAGGTTATCACATTAGTGTTTGTTCGTCATCGTTTGTCGAGGAATTAATGTCTATTGGACAGGGATTTTGGTTGAGTTCATGGTCAATTCTGAGCCGTGATTATGTTCAAGGCTCACATTTGTGGGGCGACGGCCAAGCCCTCAGCAAGCCTTACTGTTTGTGATTTGCTCAGTTTATATACTTTTGAAATTGTCTTATTTCTCGATATCTGCTCTGATCATGCGTCACTCGGATTCCGATTCTCATATTTTATTATTGTGTAGCACTCTTTCACTATGCTCCCTTATCATGCGAATTACGTCGTATGATTGCAAATGCGAAGTTCGGTGACGACAGCGATGTGAGTACTAGTAATGCTGAGGTGTCTGAGCCTGTTTGTCATACAAGAATGATAATGATCCTTTGATTAGCAACAAATGTTATGATGTTACGTAATTTATGCAACTGAATTACCAGTTACCTAGATTTTACCGAAACCCATCCCAATTTTATTACTTTAGCGAGGGAGTGGAGGTATTGCATGACAGTCATCCTTGAGGAAAATTTAAGTCAACTAGTTGAGGTTTGAAATAATAATAATAATAGTGTTTATAATAATAATGTTGCTAGTTGTTGTACCTTATAAACTATAGAAAAATCCTACATAAACCTTTTTTTATCATTCGAACTTTACGTCATCAAATAGCAACAATATTATTGTCACCAACATGATTATTGTAACGACGGATGGGGGCTTGCAATAAAATCTAAGATGCGCATTTCATCCTGTTTGGGACTCTCCAGCTGGATGTACTTGTCTCCCAGTGAGTGACGTTGTTCTCACCCGGGATTCGAACTCGTGACTAGTCGCTTCAAACGCCACAGCGTTACCAACTACGCTACCTAGCCACGATATCCACCTCTTGTGTGATGGGTATAGTTTAAGTATTATTACTTTTATTATACTGTCGTTGATTGAACCGAATCGATCTGTCTCATTTGGCCTATGGGCTCTCGTACAGAGGCCTCGATATTGCCTGTTTTTTAATTATAGTAATGATAGATGCCGATCAATTTGGTCGAGTCAAAGACGGTATAATACAAGTAAAAATGCTACGTCATTATTATTATTATTTCAACCCCGACTATCTATTATTATTATTATATTATCAGTCCCTTGGGTTCCTAGTGGAACACAGGGATTCAGTAGCACGTCTCCATTTCATTCTCTTCTCTGAGATCTTTTGAACCTGGTTCCACGACAGACCACAAGCTCTCATTTCCTCCTCGCACCATCTCCTCCATGTCACCCTTACCACGGACGTCCAACTCGTCGCTTCCCATGGGGATTCCACTCGAGCAACTGGCCTGACGCGTGATGTCCCCTGACGGCCTTCTCAGTGTATGCCCAATCCATCTCCACTTCCTTCCACCGCATATTTGTTGAGCGATAGGTTCTTGGTTGGTTCGTTGGCAACCAGCCAGAGTTCCTTGTTGCTTATTTTTACTATTCTGGCCATCTGATCTTCAGTAGCGAGCCAGCGTAAGCAGTTGTTGATGAATGTCTGTAGTTTATTGGAAATCCCTTTCATAACGCACCAAGTCTCTGAACCATCACATTGAAGCACTGACTTGACTGACATTGGTGTTAAAAATCCGGATCTTGTTCGGCATGCTGAGTGCAGAAGATCTCCACACTGGTTTCAGGCTAATGAAAGCCTGTCTTACATTTCCGATTCTGACTTTGACGTCCTCGTCCGTCCTGCCTGTATTTGAAACAGTGCTTCCTAGATAAGTGAAGGTGGTTACTTCCTTCAAGTTTCTCCCGTTGATGGTGATTGGAGTTTGCTGTTGTTGTTGATGGTGGTGGTGCGGTATCTTCATCACTTCTGTCTTCTCTATATTCACCTGGAGTCCCGTCTTAGCTGCCTCTTCTATCAACTTGTTAGTTTTTGCCTGTAGATCTTCAAGTTTGTGTGACATCAGGCACAAGTCATCGTTGGCGAAATCCAGATCTTCTAGGTTCTTTTCCGCAGTCCAGCCAGTGTATCCCCCTCTTCTCACAGCTCCTCACTGTTTGCTGCATGATCCAGTCTAGTCGACCGCAATCAGGAATATCATGGGTGATAGTAGGCAACCTTGTTTCACTCCTGTCCCCTGTCTTCACTTCAAAAGCATCACTGAGCTTCCCATTGTGAATTACTTGGCTGGCATATGGCGTCTTCATTTAGTTGTTGAATGAGGCTGATAAGGGTTTGCGGTACTCCGTAGTATTGAAGCAGTTTCCAAATTACCTCTAGGTCGACGCTGTCAAAGGCCTCCTCAAAGTCGATAAAGTTGAGGTGTAGAGTTGACTGCCATTCTATACTCTGTTCTATGATGATGCGTAGTGAAGCGTTGCAATTTGGTCTGCACATGATTTGTACTTTCTGAAGCCTGCCTGTTCCGGTCGCAGTTTTGAGTCCAGTGCATCTTGAAGCCTCTCCAAGATGATGCGGCTTAATATTTTACTTGGGGTGGACAGGAGAGTGATTCCGCGCCAGTTCTTGCAAACACTGAGGTCTCCCTTCTTCGGCAGTTTGACAAGGTAACCCTTCTTCCAATCAATTGGCAGGTACCTTCTCTTCCTTCCACACCTTCTGCAATAGTGGTGGTGTGAGCATGTCCGCTGCTGTTGTCTCTGCGTCTGCTCTCAGTGCTTCTGGCGGGATTCCATCTGGTCCTGCTTCCTTCCCACATTTCAGTATCTTTATGGCGTTCAGGACTTCCATTTTCGTTGGGGAATTTGTGTTCGCTTGAAATTAAGCGGCTGCAGGTGGTATTTCTGGACGAAGTGCAGGTGGTGGTGGTGGTGGTGGTGGTGGTCGATTCAAGAGCTTCTTGAAGTGGTCGGCCCATCGTTTCCTTTGTTTCTCTTCTTTCGTAATTAAATTTCCATCATCATCTTTTATTGGCTTCGTCTGCTTTGATCTCTTCCCTTTCAGATAGCAACCTGGTTATTTGATACAATGTTGTCAGGTCTCTGTCTCTCCTACCTGCAGCAGCCTGTTCTGCTTCACTTGCCAGTCTTTCGTAGAAGTGTCTTTTGTCTTTGCGTGCACTCTTCTTCACTTCCTTGTCCAGTGTAGTGTTTTATACATTGTACCCAGTTCCTCTTGTCGTTGAGTATCCTTGCACTGCACTGGTTTATCTTCTGCTTCACCATCCTCCTCTCCATGCTCTATCAGCTTCCAGGTATCCGTCCAGATCCATTCCACTCCTTATCTTCTTTCTTCTTCCTTCCTAATACTGTTGTGCAGGTTTCTTTCCACACAGCTTTCAAAGACTTCCAGTGTTCTTCCACACAGGTTTCTTCAGGGATGTTCCTCGATATCTCCCATTTTGTCTTGATGGCTGACTGAAGTGAAGATTTCCTTTGTAGTTTCATCCTTCAGTTTCCGACCTGGGTGTTGAACTTGAACTGTGGTCTATCACCAGCTTCCTTGAAGGCTTTCAACTTGATTTGGAAGGCAGGTTCCTTGCACTAGATAGTGAGTGATATGAACCTACATCTGCTCCTCTTCTTGACCTTGTGTCAAGTAGACTGCGTCTCCATTTTCTTCACATTGAGATAAAGTCGATTTGATTTTTAGTGTGTCAATCTGGTGAAATCAACTCCATGTCGCTTTGTGGATATCCTTGTGCCTAAACACACTGCCTCCAATCACCAAATCGTTGAATGCACAGAATTCTGCAAACAATTCTCCATTCTCGTTCATCACCTCACCGAGCGCTTCTCGACCCATGGTTAGTTCCCTTCCCGTGTTGTCCCCTCCCAGTTTGGCATTCATGTCACCCCACCCATTAGAATGAGTTTTGATATCGCCAACTGATGTTGGGTCTTGTCCAGTGTTGATTGAAGTTGTCTGTAGAATTCCTCCTTTTTCTCTTGATCTTCAATATTTGTAGGTGCGTAGCCTAGCATTGTATGATTGTGACCTTCCTTCCTTCCTTTTGAGTTGAACCCGTCTTGCTGTCATGATCCTGCATGAGGAGATTGGTTGCCACTGCATGAGAGCCTTCGATGCTGTTGGGGATATCATGATAGCCACTCCAAAACTCAGTGTGCTCGTGGTTGGCGTCTGGGTGACAATATCGGAGTAGATTATTGATTCTCCAGTTGACAGTTTGGAGAGTCCACTCCCATTCCATCTGATTTCGCAAATCCCAAGCACCTCGATGTTATACCTTCTCATCTCCTTTGCAATCTGGGCTGCCTTACTGGGTTCAAACATCGTACGGACATTCCATGTCCCCACGTTTACTTTCGCTTTCATCGAGAGAAGACACATCGGCCAATTGGCTTTCCGAAGGCTTTCACCAACTGGCGTCATTTCGCCTCTCCGATTCCAGCGAGGAATAAGTTTGTTTTCATTTTTTATATTTTGTTTGTGCTTTGAAGTTTGTTTAGCGGTTAGATTTGTTTTACGGGGTAGGGTTAGTAGCCCTATGCCCAACCTTCCCTCTTTACCCGGGCTTAGGACCGGCTAGTAACTAGTGAACTAGTTAACCAGGCGAGGTTACCCCGACTATCAACTTTTGGTTATTGTCATTTTATTCATCTTCGTGGTTGACATTTATTACCCAGCACACTTCTCCCCCCTAATTTATTTAGGGTGAAAGAAATTGGAAATGAAAAATGATTGGCTGATTCCTCTGTTTAAAAGTCAATGTGTTTGTGTGACCAAGGTATTTTCCTGCTGCACTAGGACACTTACTTGTAGGAATCTGATTAGTTGACCCTAGGTAACTTATCTGTATTTAGATTGGCTTATAAAGCCATCACTTGTCACATAAATTCTGTTTTAAGAAATTAATCGCCATCAGGTTCAGATTAAATCCAAAATGGATTTAAAATATGTAGAGAATTAAATTCTGTAGTGACAATGTTGTGTAATATTTCAGGGAACCTGTTTCAAATGTATTGAGAGTAATTGTTGTTATGGTATTTATGATTCCCCGTTGTTATACATGGCTGAATTGATCGACCTCTGTTGACAGATGGGCTCCTGAGTGGATACCTTGATACTGCTGCCGATTATTGACGTAACATTGGTCTTGGTGACTAACACAGGACTCCAGGACTGGCGTTTTGTTCTAATTGGCATTCGGTTTAGTGGATAACCCTGTGCCAGTTCAAGCGATAAGTACCAAGTTCAATCCACAATGGGAACCACATCACTAACCGGGGTGCTGCTACATCCAACCGACGAGTCCCGAGTAGGACGAAGCGCGCGTCCTGGTAGTCGTCGAGATCAATATGTACTGAGTGCAATTTACAACTGTAAATGAGGTTTTCAGAGAAATTAATGATCGGAAGTTTATACATAATGATAAGTTCTTATTTTGGTAATAATTCGAACAAGATTACTACCCGTGATCACTCAAACAGTCGGAATATTTGCTCAATAATTTACTGAAATAAAAGCTCACCACTGTTTGTCAACTTTTCATTTAAAATGTACTTATAATCTATTATTCCATTCCACAATACAGAATCTTCTCATCGATGTATTTAAATCCTTGTAGGACTACACTGCTAACTGTAATTCTAAGGATAATGTTGGTGAGAAACTGATTACTCTGCCTTGATAGTTTTGACCAACATTAAGGTGGTCTTTGAAAACCGGTACCAACTGAGTAATCACGTTCATATGGGCAAATTTTACAATGTGGAGTACAACTCGCCATATAGGCATATAATAAAGTACTATATGCAAAGAAATATCCCCTTAGACGCATTTAACGTTTCTCTCCGTTGGCTGATGCGGAAGAATTAGCAACACAATGTACCAGTGCAAAACAACAGTCCACAACCAACCACATCCCTCCTTCCATCAAGAAACCAACTTTGGATAGTCGTTTTACCATTCTTCAACGGTGAACACCAATTCTGCACTGTCTTTTGGTTTGTAAGGAAAATTTTAGATGGCAGGACACCCACTGAGGTAGACACAAGTCCAGAACATCTCACAGGACACAGTGTTTCAAGTGATTCCGGGGAAGAAATGGAAGTGACATCTGTGGCTGTGAGTACAATCACGGTGGCAGACGGTGGAAGACCAATAACTCCATTTAATAAAACAATTTAACGGTCACCTATAACAGAAATTACTTATCCAGGAAATAACTTAACCTTGGACCCAGACTCCAGTGTCGACCATCAAAGAGGGGCTACGGAGTTGGTTACTGGGAACTCTGAGGAGAGGGACCATGTAGATGTAAACGAAGAGGAGGATTATATCCGCAGAGGAGTTTATGAGGTATGCTTTCAAAGTGATGCACCAACCTCCATCCCACATGCCAACCCACTAATAGCATGCCATTGTCATGCAACATTTCATATATTCTTCGAATACAATCCACACCTGAGCAGCTTTTGTTTAGAATGCCCTGAGTATGAAGGCAACCCCTAGCAGGGAGGTAATTTCAATGAAAATTAGAGGGATTTTCATAAAAAACGGGTAATTAGCATCTTTAACTCCTACAGCTGTACCCACCTAACTTTCACATGTTAGATGAAGACGAGCTGCACCAGAAGTGAATTTCGATTTCATGACGGGAAGCGAACGAACAAAGGCCCTTCTCAGGGCCATCCAAAATGTGATTTGAATGACTTTTTTTGTTCTTTTAAATAAATCAGAAGTGATTATCCATGTTTAACTACTTCAGTTATCAACCGAATGAATGTAATACAGAATCGAAGATTGTTAACTTCTTAACAATGATAACTACCTATTATGTAGCTAAGGTTCAGACAATTGAAAAGCGTATATACCCATCAAAAGCTCTTTGAACAGGTGAAAGATAAAGTCACGTTCTATTGTGTTTATCCATTTAAATGTATGTGTGGTCAGATATAGCTAATAGTAGCTACAAGTGATCCCATTAATTAACCTTCAATCTTGATGCATATCAGTTAAAAATATCTAAGCAAATATCCAAATATATGGAGAGATGATTGTTTAAAAAATATCGCATGGGATGATTGTGAGTTAACAGCCACCGAGTTACTGTCCAGAAACTTTCTAAGAACTTCACGAGCATGAATGCTCGACAAGAACATTTCAGGGATATTCTACGAAATATATGATTAAAACACACTGGACTGACCTTCTTGTCACTACACTACCTATTGACTGGTGTTCACTAGACTTAAAGCGAAAAAACTTGACATAAGCTCTTCGGCAACCTTTCTAATGTGTATCTCGCACAACGTAGTGCATGTACATCTGCTTCTCATAATCGTTTAGGGCGACCTTCAAAGACTCTAAAGACGGAAACGCGGCGAGACAAAAACTCTCCATAAAGTTTGATCGTTTTCGGTTACAACACTCTGGACGGTATCGTCGCTCATCAAGAAAAATAAAGCAACCCTTCCTCAGTTTGCTCCCTTTCATAGTACTTTTTGATTTCGTGCAACAAATAACATCGGATGTTTCCTCATCCATTTCGACTGGACACCATGTGACACGCAGTGACGGAAAAGGGGTAGAAAATAACAGTTAAAAAATCATTACTATGGACTGAATGTATTCCCATCTCTATTGTTAACTTGACCTTGAACACTATCTTCTCACCTGTCGAACAATTATTTTCGTACCCTTCAACTTCTTAATCTTTCACGTAAATGACAACTGAAGACCTTGGATGGTAATCGCGCTACTTCGTGAATCGACAGAAATTGGAAACTGTGAACCACTGTGGTTAAATTGTGTAGCATGTTCGCCGTGAAACCTGAAGGTTCTGAGTTCGGCTCCTAGCCAGGTTGTGGGTGCGAACGGCCGAGAAGATCCATACTGGGACGAAACAGTTGTCCAGTTAACCTCGGTTTTCAATATTCTTCCAACTGATGTCATTCCATGATGAATACTACTTCTAAATTAAAATCCCGATTCATCTCAGAAACACTCGTGTTAATCTTGTTGTTTTGTCAAAATTTATAAATGGAACTATTTGTTTCAAATAACTCGGTATTTCAGTTGAGGTTTTGTGGGGATTCATTGATTTCAACCTGGTAGATGTGAGGACAAATACTCGACGATGGCACCAATTGATGGTCGCCCTTTGTCGTGAACTGACAGAATTTGGAAATATGTACCGTTGGGTTCCTATCCAGTGTATCAGTGGTTACGTGCTGGCCACGGAACCTGAAAGTTCTAGGTTCACTCCTTGGTGGAACCATGAGTGCGCACTGCTGATGAATCTCGTGCTAGGACGAAACAGCTGTCCAGTGCTGCCGGGCTTCCAATGTTCCTTCGACTGTTGTCAGCCCCTTATGAATACCAACTTGAAAAGTTAGTATTTAGTATATTTTTTCTTCACATTACATTACTTCTCATAGGGTAAGTTAGCATATCGACTCGATAGTTCTCCTAATTGAATCAGATTTCGTAATTCAGTATCCCTTGGTCACAAAGTGCCAGGCGTTTATGTGGAAAGGATACTTTTGCTAACAATATCAGTTAAAGGGTGCTGAATGACCTTTACTGATTTAATTTTCGAAAACAATGATTCCTGCTTATTATTTTTTTCTATCCTACGTCATTTAGTTCCTAAGATTTTTCCAAGCATTCTTAACGTCACTCACTTCTCTTCAACTTCATGTGTTATTGTCCACACCTTTCTAGTTGTCTTGTTTTAATGGAACATGCTGTATCATGCATATTTCAAGTGTCTTGTAAGAATTTAATTCAGTTACATATTCCAGTCATCAGCTAGATTCATTTTCATATTCAATCATGAAATTCGTATTCCGAATAGCTCGATACCGTAGGTAATTTTAGTTTTTTAGTAATGATGAAGACTGGCTGCGAATCGATAGACTTCGTCGATTCAGTTGTATAACAAAGAGGTAATTTTATCATCAAGTCTGAAAAAGTATCCACAAATAAACTGTCTTGAGAATATAGCTATTTTTGGCTGAATGCTGTATTGTCATAGATTGGACGTATGTCATCTTTGTTCAACGTAGCCTCTAACATTCGTAAACATGCCTTCTTATAAATACAAATTGCTTTCTCCTACACGTCGTCATCATCCTCACCCAATTTAAAATCTTGTTACAGTGACAACGGATAAATGGTTACAATAAATTCAACTTACTTATGGAACTTCCTGTTGGATAAATATATTCTGTTGGAACACTCTTAGTTGTTACCTCTTTAGTCTCACCGACTGGTTTGTTTGTTGAATGTAATTCTGTTGAAACAAGTGGAAATCCAGTAGATATTATAACTATCTGTCAGTCATTATTAGAGAAATATTTAAAGAAACCTTTTCGGTGACATGAGATTTTTCTCAGCAAGACACTAATTTTCGCCGTATTGTATAAAGATTTAAAGAGGAAGGCTAGATAGTATGAAAATATACTCTGACTGATGACTGGAGAGTAATCCACTCCATTTTACCTGGTTCTAGGGGCTGATGGAATTCTATTGAGTTTTTCGTAATATGGTCACCAGATTACAAGAGGCAGCATCACAGTGCCGTCCAGTCGATGTTAGTGTGTTAATTTGACAATGTTATATAGCAGCCTTTTGAGAATGGCTAAGTGTACGTTTATCACTCGGTATCGATATCTACACTCTTTGTAGAACTGCATAAAGTTGTGTCTTTACGCAGACTTCAACTTTTTATGAAATGGAGCTATTAAGGAGGTAGAATTAAGGGGCTGGAAGGCAGTACTAAATGATGCTTGGATGCAATTACGGTATTACAGGAAACCAGCTCATGAAATATAGTCACGCTTTGATTCTCAAATCTAGCATTTCTCTACACTACGCATGAAATAATGGAATCTTTTGACTTCTACACGATTAAAGTGTTTTCTTACCCACGCCTTGTGAGACATGGAAGGTGGGTTTGACTCATGTACAGGTGGATATACAGACACGAATCCACTGGTTTTCAGGGCACATCACTTTTATGAATAGCTCTGTAGACTTGCTTTGTTTGGATATTTGTGTTTAAGTGAATCCAGATGAGTAGTATACAAGCCATTAATATGTTTTCCTGCTTGTTATTTACTGAAGTGAGATAGTCAATCATTGTTCGCCTTTAATTAAATCATCTAAACGTATGCCTCAACTTCCTTTAGAAATGGAATATGTGGGTGATCGGTGTCTATCGTAACACTCGCTTCACTGTAGCTTCAAACTTCTCTCCAATTAGATAATACTTTGTCACCTGGACATTGACAACTAACTGAAAACCAGTTGTTACGTTCAGATGGATGCTCTACCAACTAAACTATGAAACCCAACAGTTGATCAAAATCCTAATTCCACTTCAATACATAGTGTGAACAGATGAGATGAGGTATATTTAACCGCCTCCTGGTATTTACTAATTAATCAGTTGAAGGGGAAACTTGCGTACTTATCTTCATCACCATCTTCATTGTCTCTGTATCAACAACAACGCACAATCTGGATTGATTCGATTTACTACCATTTTCATCACCATTGTTACTAACATTCATTTCTATTTAACTTCAATAAATTATTGAGAACTTCACTAATATGAATTCATTGCCAACGTACCAACAGAAATGACAAATATATCGATCCTATATGCCCTAACGCACTAACATATGACAGTATCGAACGATTACACTGCCACCGATGATCACTTTTGTCCCCTATTTTTAATGAAGGAGAGTATGAATATCAATACGCACAGAGGCACGCATCACCCTACAAGAGACATACAATTTCGCAATAAAAATGAGAAGAGGATATAAAAAGACGACTAAGTTCACATATTTGATATTTTAATTTAATTCTTTTCTTGCCGGAGGTGGGATTAGATTTTCGTGTGACATGTTACAACTATTTTAATTCATATGCACCGAGACTAATACGGATATATTTAGTATCTCAGTTAGGAGCTTTGTGTGAACTGATTGGTTTCTGTGTTATTCATCACGGCTGAAATCAGGCATATCTTATGTCAACCTTTCATTCAGTACCGAATATTTGTGATACTATCCTCTCAAATTGTGAGCTACTTGATCCCGATTCAGTCATCCTGCTGTAACTTGCTCTACACAAGGCTTAGTGATCCTAATTTCGATCCCTCATTGTTCCATTGGCCAGCATTCCCAGCAGGTCTCAAACTAGGTGGAAGAGCTGTACATCGCTCTTATTATTTGTACAATGTCAGTCATTTGAAATAAAGAAACCATACATAAATATACTCACAAAAATAAAACATCAATTTATAAATTCTTACGATGCGCTTCAATATTCACAAGTGCCAATAAATATAGGCCACCAATTTTATTGTAACCAGAATTCAAAACAGCTGTGAGTAGAGTATCATTCAAATTGAAAGAGGCTGCCACACGAATGGACATGATGGTAGTTGCTTCAATGGCTTTAGTAATCTCATGTTTTGGTAAATGTGCAGATACATTTTGCAAGTGAATTATTTTATTGATAATTTTAAAGTTGACAGTGTTGCATTCAGCTTCTTTTTGATAGAAGAAGCTCCAAATCTCTTCATCCTTCGAATGCTTCTACAGCGATGAGAAATAAAAGTAAGCATTGACAAAAAACTGTTCTGAAACAATTACTCCCTTTAGTAAATTTCGGTAACGCTATTAGAAGACGAAGATTATCTGAAAAATGTGATGTGTATTTGCGCAATACATTTCGAACAATCTGATCACACATTTACTTGTCATGTCAATTTATATATGAAAATAAAAGGTCAAATATAGTGAATATGAAAAGGTTGTGACACTAGTCTAGATAATATAATCAGATAAGGATTACCAAGGTAAATTAAGTGAAACCACAAATTGTTTTTGTACACACAGTGGGGGATTAAGTTTACGAATGGCTAACGCTTCGGCAAACTTCAGTATGCGCCCCTGATTATTCCTGTATATTATCTTAAACGCTGTTTTCGTATTAACCCTATGATTCATTTCAATAATATGTTTTGCTATAGATGACGATGGATGTCTGTCACCTGCACTTATCAAAGTTTGTGTGTTAAACTGTTTTTCTAGCCATTTGGGGATGTGTTCACCCACCCTAGTCTGCACTGAACGATTACTCCTCCCTATGTATGTACGTATTCACTGAAAGATACGTTGGAACTTGTTGATTATCTTACGGATTTGAATATTAAAAATAAGAAAATGTATTCTTTTGATGTTAACTCTCTGTTTACAAATGTGCCTCTAACGAAGAAAATTAATATTCTTTGTGACCACATATCTTCGAATTATCCTTCTTTCCCTATTCCTTCACCTTATTTGAAAGAACTGTTTTTATTATGTACTGATAAGATTCATTTCACTTTCGAAGGTGAACACTTTCGGCAAATTGATGGTGTAGCCATGGGGAGTCCATTAGGACCGTTATTAGCTGACGTATATATGTCACATACTGAACTAATGGCCCAAGATCTAATCACCAATGTCACACTCTATAGAAGGTATGTGGATGATATCTTTGTAATATGTGACACAGATGAGGATGCCAAGAGGTTATTAAAAAGGCTTAATACCGTACAAGATCATATCAATCTGACATGTGAGGAAGAAAAAGACCATCAACTTGCATTTCTTGATATACTGTTGTGCCGGAGGGAAGATGGATCTATAAAACGATCAATACATAGGAAGTCTACTTGGACAGGACAGTATCTGAATTTCCATAGTTTTTGTCCGATGAAATATAAGAGAGGCTTGGTAAGATGCTTGTTCAATAGAATCCAACGTATTTGTACATCTGATACGATGGATGATGAGAATAAGTTTCTGACAGACACTCTAGTGGAAAATGGTTATCCATTACAGTTTGTCAACCATTGTAAAAAACAGTTGATCCCAAAGCCTACAGTTTCCTCGGTCCCGAAGAAAAGCATATTTCTTAAAATACCATACAGTGGGGAAACAAGTAGTATGATATTGAAGCAGAGATTAAAATCTGTTATCAGTAAAACATACTATGCAGCTCAGCTTATCATTGTTGAGACGACAAAACACCTGCTACACCACAAACCTCAACCTCGCACAAATGATTACATCACATCCTACTGCGTTTACCAATTTACATGTATGTGTGGGCACACATACATAGGGAGGAGTAATCGTTCAATGCAGACTAGGGTGGGTGAACACATCCCCAAATGGCTAGAAAAACAGTTTAACACACAAACTTTGATAAGTGCAGGTGACAGACATCCATCGTCATCTATAGCAAAACATATTATTGAAATGAATCACAGGGTTAATACGAAAACAGCGTTTAAGATCAAAGAACTGTTCTATCAGATTGGGAGGAAAGGGATATTTTACATTGTTTCACCACTTTTTCTTTTCAACCAGAAGATAAAAGAATCTGGATTACGTAAAAGCATTTATTGTTCTTCACTTGAAAGGTGATTACTTCATAGTGATCTAGGTTAATCATAATCAAGCTTAATGATTAATGTAAATCAGTGGATTTCGAATGACCATTTCACCTTATTTCAAAGGTGCATGCTCCTACGTTTTGTCATACTACCATAAAATACACTTCACTTCTCTCAGTGTTTCCTTATGTTCTTCATTTGATGTCAATACATTTTGTGGACTGTCTTCAAATTAATCAGTCACCCTTTGTTGGATGACCTAATTATTCCTTCACGTGTAGTGGGGGCTGTTTATCAGTATGGATATAAGTAGTATATGTTGAGAGGGCAGCAGAAATCATAGGGAATTAGCAGCAGTGGGTAAACATTCCGGGTGTGGTGCTTTTGAGACTTCAATTCCTACTACCTTGCTTTTTTAATATATGGTGAACGAGCCGTACCTTGTCTCCACTATTCCTGTTCTCGAGTTAATACTGAACCCACTTCTCTCAGAAAATCAGCACCTACGATCGTCCGTTGTAGACGCGTGATGACAATCAATCAAAATCTAATTTTCCGACTTCTGATCTCGGCGATACAATCTGACAAGCTTGAGATTTCTAATGCATGTCCCTAAACCATGTGAACCGTTAGCGTACATGGTCTTATGTTCTGAGACTGACTCTTATCTATCTTGATCTTGTTTTATTTCGGTTGTCCACCAGAAGCTTATAATCTTTTTTTCTGATACGTCATCCAGTAAATGACACTGTTTTAATGTGTGACATTTTTAATCAATAAAATAAAATCGAATTTCCGAGATTTTGTTTCGTTATTACCACCTTTACTGTTACCTTCTAATTCAGATACTCGTATTAATTTAACCATGTTGGTATCAAATGACTATGCTGAATAATATGTAAATGTAAATGTACAGTCTAACGAGAATTTACCGAAAATATGTATGCGCTTCAAACTCTATCTTGTAATTATCATAATGGGAATATTTAGATTGTATCTCATTATATACACAGCATTGATATGGCTTTGATGTATGCAATAAATGTAAAAGAGCTTTTTATAAATCCTGGTATGTATAATTAGTTTCTTATAAGGAATTACGCAAAAAGAAATCATTAAGAACAAGATATTCAGCGAAGAGACTCTTTTCAACGAATTTATTTTCAAGCTGTACAACCGTATATATATGGTATTTGGAAAAAATTATATCCTGTGAGGAAAACTAAACACTACATGGTGATGACAATAATAATAGAGCTAGTGATGACATAGGCATTTATGATTATAATAACAATTGAAGTGCGAATGATGACAAATAGATTATGTAATATATGGAATGGTACATAGAGAGTATATAACTCAGAAGGGGGTGAAAAAATTGTTGAAAATGGTAAATCAATTAAGTATTATGTAATGGCATTAGACAAATTGGACAAGATGAAGTCAATGTTTTCTAAAAGGATTAAGACAATTAAGTGAAACAAAACCGGAAACTAGTTGAAGTGAAGGCGATTATAATAACAATAATAGTGATAAAGGAAGGAAACAAAGGTTAAATTAACAAAGTGGGAGGGGGAGCTAATGAGGTGGGAAAATGTTATGGCCATGATAAAGACAGTGACTGCACATACTTCTTTTGTACACACAGATCAGTCTTAGTTCATGAATAGCTAAAGCCTCCGAATCGTCAGGAGTATACTGATAAACTTTCCGTAATCCTCTCTGATCCCACTAAGTTTAGTAAACCCGAAGGTGAGCCCAATAAGACACATATAATTGAAACACAACTCACAAATGTCTTAAAAAGCATGAGGGATAAATCAATAATTGATCCTGATTTATATGAACGTATCCGACCGGTTGGCTCTATAATCCCACGTCTATATGGACTACCGAAGATACATAAAGCGGGATTACCTCTTCGTCCGATCCTCGATATGGCTGGTTCTCCCTATCACCGAACTGCTCAATGGTTAGCTGAAATTCTGGAACCTGTTAGAAGGCAAGTATCGAGTTTTTCTATCCGTGATACATTTCAGTTTGTTGAGGGTATTAAGGATTTTAATGCTCTAAACAAGATGATGTTTTCATTAGACGTCACTTCATTGTTCACGAGTGTGCCACTCACCGAAACTGTCTGTTATGTATGTGACTATATTGATGCACATAATTTAGACGTAGGACTACCAACGAGCTGCTTGAAAGAGCTTTTGTTGAGGTGCACATTTAATGTCCAATTCAGTTTCAATAATGAAATCTATAGACAGAAAGATGGAATTGCGATGGGGTCACCATTGGGACCACTGCTAGCAGATTTCTTCATGTCGAAACTGGAAAATTCACAACTTCGTCAAACTATTGATAGCTTTGACTTTTATAGAAGATATATGGACGACACGTTTGTTATTTGCGACAAAAATGTAGACCTCGACGACGTGCTTCGTTCATTCAATGAATGTCATCAAGCCCTCAAGTTTACTATAGAGAAGGAATCAGAATCAACTATTCCTTTTCTTGATGTGCTTCTCACCCGACGTCAGAATGGATACCTTAAAAGATCCATCTACAGAAAACCAACGTGGAACGGACAACTAACTAATTTTTATAGTTGGGTGCCCATCAACAGAAAAAGAAATCTTATTCACTCTCTTTGCTATCGAATAAGAAGTATCTGTAGTGACGATTGTATCGAGGAAGAGCTATCTTTCTTAAAAAGCATACTTGTCGAAAACGGTTACCCTAGCCGTTTTATTGATAAAAATATGCGGGAAAGAAACACTAAACCAGTCATCCACTCGGTCTCAAAGAAAAGATTGTTTATGAGCCTAGAGTTTAAAGGAGACCTAGCATCGGATGTACTGAAGAATCGTCTTACCAGATCAATCAATAGGACTTTCTTCGCAGCAAGACTCCAGTTGACTTTTACCAGCCGCAACCTATTCTCCACCTGCGTCAAAGACAAGCTTCCTCGTTTGGCCGCCTCTATGTGCATCTACCAGTTCACCTGCTCCTGTGGAGCAAGGTACATCGGCCGTAGCCAGAGAATGCTTTCTACACGTATACGAGAACATGTTCCTGCTTGGTTTTATAAAGGTGAAAGAAAGTCTGTTAGAAGTTCGATTCTAGAACATTTGATTGACTTCCATCACACAACAAATCCAGACGATGACTTTGAAATTATTTATCGAATTCGCCCAAACCTCCCACGTTCTCTTCGTTTTCAACTCCTTAAAACAGCGGAGGCTTTAGCTATTCATGAACTAAGACCTGATCTGTGTGTACAAAAGAAGTATGTGCAGTCACTGTCTTTATCATGGCCATAACATTTTCCCACCCCATTAGCTCCCCCTCCCACTTTGTTAATTTAACCTTTGTATCCTTCCTTTATCACTATTATTGTTATTATAATCGCCTTCACTTCAACTAGTTTCCGGTGTTGTTTCACTTAATTGTCTTAATCCTTTTAGAAAACATTGACTTCATCTTGTCCAATTTGTCTAATGCCATTACATAATACTTAATTGATTTACCATTTTCAACAATTTTTTCACCCCCTTCTGAGTTATATACTCTCTATGTACCATTCCATATATTACATAATCTATTTGTTATCATTCGCACTTCAATTGTTATTATAATCATAAATGCCTATGTCATCACCCGCTCTATTATTACTGTCATCACCATATAGTGTTTAGTTTTCCTCACAGGATATAATTTTTTCCAAATACCATATATATACGATTGTACAGCTTGAAAATAAATTCGTTGAAAAGAGTCTCTTCGCTGAATATCTTGTTCTTAATGTTACAATGGGAATTATTAAATTATTAAAAAGAAATCAGTCAACACTATCACTTACAATCAAACATAAATTAATTTTACAACCAATGCATTCTTCTCTGAGATATCCAGAACAGCAGTATCCGTCACAGTTAATGATAGACTAATTTTAAATCTAACCAAGCCTGCATTACTGTTGACTACTAAGATCCAATACTAAGTATGCTATAGAAATCTCTGTCATGGATGCTGATAAGTCTCCAACTCATAGTTTATTAATTCACTATCCGTGTCTGCCAGAACTTCACTTTCAGCCTCCCAATGGTCAGGTGAACACCTGAACAGTACTTGTGTAGCATTATAGTCTTTAACATGCTTGCTAGACTACTTAATTTTAATATCTCTCAATCGTATCCTGTAGAGTAAATGCCACTAACGTTTCCTAATTTTCAAAACCCCAACACTCAACGAAAGGATTGTTCTTATGCTCCCAGAATATCAACACCTAGTTAATGTGAAAAGAGAACCTCAAGTGTCTCAGGATAACTATCTTAGACTAAAGGAGACAACCCACATCAGTGATGTGGCTTCTACGTTAGACAGTGTAATACCTTCACGCTCATTACACAAAAATATAATGCCTACCTCTGTACATTGAAATGCAGAGGCATATATTATGGTAATTATTCTGATATTATGATAGAGTTAATATGATAAGGTAAACACCTAAAACAGTCGAAATCCAGTTTAATTTGCCACGTTTCGACACTGTGTTTGTTGCTGTCATCATTGGACGGATCTATTCTCTCTGAAATTCCGTGCATTAGACAAAAGCTAATGATGATGGGTTAGTTGAGAAGTCGAAAGAAAAGATTCATCTTTGTATAACCGGGCGCTTTCAACCACCCCCATATAAAAATGTGCTTAATTTTCGCTGGTAAACAACAAAACTACTCTGAATTAAATGACGAGGCGATTGGCTATCTCCCAGGACATAACATTGTCAAGCTTAGCTAAGAGCACCTTATCATTAGTGTTTTTTTTCAAATCCACTTTTAAATACATATGTATTAGATACAACCCCTCACTCCTCATAGGCTGAGCGTTCGTGTGCTGACCATCAAACATGACTGTCATCAATCGGATTTCAAATGCTGTAGCCAGTGGAAACTGTTCCAGAATCTCAAGCCAAAATGAAGGAGTTACTCAGTAATTTATGTCTTCTAACCATCTTCTAGCTGATGTCAGACAGGTTATGATAATAAGTTTTTTCGAATCCATCAGTTCTTCTCAATCGACTCATCTGGACAATACATGTGTTTGTTTGTTTGTTTACATTTCACTGAAATAACAAAGCTATGATGGGGAGCCGAGATTACAACTGATCACTCTGACAAAATGAGTTCTATCGCCTGTCTGGATTTTTAATACACCAATATAGGTTTAACTTTGTAACCATCTTACGCAACACCTTTTCGAAAATATGCTAAAATTACACGAGATATAACTGGTTTCTAAATAATTGTTCATGATATCATAAACCGTGTGACTTCATTAGATTATTAAATGACTCCTCAAAGGTATCAGCGTAACGTCAATGAACTTCAACCATTCCGAGTGCATCTTATTTGGGGCTCTTCTATGCACATAAAAATTATCACTTCGAATTACAAAGTGATATCTGTTTGTTCCATAAATTGGCCTGTAGATGTTGTGCTGATATATGGCCGAGCTGATATATGGAATTTTCAATGACTGGCTTACTGAATAAGAATCCATTAACTTGCATCTTCTAACTACAACAAATTGATTATAACCATTCACTGCTTCTTGGTTTTTTCACATATATTTGAAATGCTACTAGTTGGAGATGAATGCTGAGGTCAAGTGTATTTCTAATGCACATTGATGAGTTATGATTTTGGATCAAACTCAATCTGTCTTAATATATACAGAAGCAGATCTTTTGTATATTCTCTGCAGTCTTCGCTAAAACAATCTAAAGATAAAGGCTACAATAAATTTATGCAGGGATAAAACATACAGATGGTGTGTGTTAGTTAAACTTGAGCCCTGTATATGATTGTAACTTCATTTTAGTATGTTAAGTAGTGGTACACAGTGAAACATTATTACATACTGGATAACATTCCCAACACAATGTACTGTTCATATTCATCTCAACTTCACAATCTTGAAAGATGATTTATGTAGTTTTAAGGAGGACAGGGTATTAAAGCTGCCTAAACTATGTCTCAACGAATTATGTTTGAAACACTGACCAGTACATAATACTGTTTCATTGTGCAATGCATCTGATAAATAAACTGAAAAGTAATGAAGAATAGGTATCAGTTAGTAATCGGAAGCGAATAAATTCTGAATCTCATGAAAAATGAATAGACCAGCTCTGAAAATGCATGACAAAGGGAACTCTTTCCCATCATCACATTGTAATATATTTATAAACATACCTTTGTTTTACAATCATTGAAGGCTTTGTTCTTTCTTTCTTCATTAAGCATATGATAAACATAATGTTTGAGAAGATGATATCCTTCACGCAAACTTTTATTGATCTTGAAGAAAAGAAAATCAAGGAAGGAATATTCATTTCGTGATATTTTGATAGTCGTTCTTAACATAATAAAATCAAATTTGTCTCATAGTTTGAGGCAGCTGGTGGACGTTTCAAGATCTAAGCCTCACGACTGTTGCCACTGTTTAACAAGACATATCTACAACATTAGGACTTCTGGTGTATCCACCTGATTCACAAAATATGTTCATGGTGAGTATTAGGGGAGTCCTAAGTAGACGAACATCAATGATTCGCCAATAAACGTCTACAAACATCAATACCTGTTGCTGAGCCTTAAGCTGTGAACTATAATTAGCAATGTGATAACTTGAGTGAAGATTTGGATGAAACTGTCCTACGTAGCCAGACTGGTTTATTAAGGAGGCTCCAAATATGCTAACTTTTAAAAATGCAAGTTTCTTTCATCTTGGAACTCGAGATCATTTCTGACTCTTCTAGTCAGCCACTGATTGGCGAAAAATATGATGCCTGACTACGGATTATCCGAATTTCACTACTTCCTGTACTTCCAAGTGATTTGATTGCTTCTTTGTAGAATCACCTAAGTGGTCCAGTTGGCAGACTTCATGCTTTCCCTCTAAAATTTTATGCATTAGGCAACGGTGCACTTGTGTGTATGTCTTTTTAAAAATTACTCACTTAAGTAGGGTATGATTTTGTTCAAATGGACTGTTTTACTTATGGAATTTTCCCTCTCTCTGCCTGGTCTTACTATGAATGACACAGTCACAATTTAATTCTTATCAGATGTTATGGTGATGTTAGGTGAGGGTGCTGATTAAGTCCAGAGTTTCCTAAACGCCTTAAGTGGCAGCTTTTGTGTGTTTGGCATGCATTTATCAGAATCTAGATGTAAATTGCTGCTCCTGAACTGATCTGGGCCGTTGTCTTGTATAACGAAAGGGAGTGAAGTGATTAAGCGTGCTGGCCATCTTACTCACTTAAAGAGTCGGACTAGTCCTATGAATCAGTGACCGACAAAATCTCCAAACAGTCACAAAAGTCTCAAACTAATTTCCTGTCTGGTTTCGCCATGATATTACAGTTTGCAGCGGTTTACTCTGTTCCACTATGTGGCTGTGAAATATGGCCATCAAGTGTAGAGGATATGAGAAAGCTTAAGATGTTCGACTGCTGTTACCTTCGTAGTACTAGCGGTGTATCGTTCAGTAGAAATCCGGTGTAGATTTCTATACGAAAGTGGTCGATGATTATATGGGTTTTCATTGACTTTACTGACTAGACATAGACATCACATGTCCTAGTCATCTTCAGTGCCATCTCACAATACTAAGTGGAGTAGGATTTGACTGGGAAATATTAGTTGTCGTCCGACTGCAACATGGTGTCTGCCCATGAAATATTTCATGTTGATCTCAGTCATGTTAAAAGGTTGCTGACCTTCTGGATGGCGTCTACCTGGTTATAGGACTTAGAATCGACCTGGGTGCTCATATGTATGTATCCACATACTCTCATCACTTAAATCATCGCAACTAAATCCCTCATCGTGTTATAACATTTGTTTTCTGGCGACTGACATTCAGTAACTTCGAATGCTTTCTTCTTTATTTCCTCATTTTTCTTATGTGTACCTTCTACCTTAATGTGTTCAAATGATGAGTTGCAGCCTGAACTGATACACAATAACACCACGTCCAGTGTTGATGATGACTGACTGCCATGCTCAGTGTAATGATTCTAGAAGCCTTTAACCTAAGATGAATAAACGAATATAGGTATTCAAAAATGTCGACATTTACGAAATTTAAAGAGAATTATTCAACTGGTAAACTGTGGACTCGCTAAACTTTCAAGGTTTCAATGAGAATGAATGTTGATATTTGATTGTAATATGCTGTGGACGGTGCGCTGACTAAACCTCCGGTCAGTAATCGCTTGAGTAGGTCTATAAAGTCAGTTAAAGGAAGAATTACTTTTCATAAATTTATTCACATAATATGATTGTGCCTATAATTTAGCTTTATCGTGTGGAGAAAAACAATACTTACTATGTTACAAAATGATTTCCCCATTTTCTTGTACAGATATGATAATGGACTATTCAGATATTGCATAAACTTCAATGGGGTTGACAGTAGTTTATGATGTATTGTGGCTTTGACTTCAAAGTTGATGATTACTTGGAATTAGAGCAGAAATCAATGGATAAATGTAGGAAAATGGTTCAGACTTAGGTAGATATAGAAAAAGAGAATTTTGTTTCAGGTTACTTTAGTTCTCATGACGCAAGGCATTTTATGTTTGAGAAAAATTAGGTGTTGATATGCACCACAACCAATAACTGTAAATAACTGCAACCTTTAGACAGCGAAGATAGGACTTCAGGTCGATATAGAGAAGACAGAGATGAAGATAACCAACCAACAACAACGACAAGCACCGATCACCATCATCGGGGGAGAAATCTAAATGAAGTTGTCTCTTTCACCTACCTTCCTAGGTAGCATCGTTTCAACTTCAGGCAGCGGCACGGATGAAGATGTCAAACCGCAGTCGGTAAGAGAGCAAGATAGGCCTTCATTAATCTGAAATCAGTTCGGAGATCTACTGCACTCCACTCAGCATAAAGCGTGAACAACATCCGGATTTTCAACACTTATATCAGTCGAATCAGTGCTTCTCTATGGTTTAGAAACTTGGTGCTTCATGAAAAGCATTTCTAACAAACTACAGAAATTCATCAACAGCCGCCTACGTTCGTTGCTGAAGATCAGATGACGAGAATAATAAGAACAAGCAACAAAGAACTCTGGCTGGCAACGAACTAACCAAGAACCTATTGCCCAACAAATATACGGAACAGAGTGGAGATGGATTGGATTGGACATACAGTGAGAATACCGATTAGGGACACCGCGTGACAATCCAGGCTATGTACTCGAGTGGAACCGAAATGGGAAACGACGAGTTGGGTGTCCGAGGGTGACATGGAGGAGATGGTGTGAGGAAGAAATGAAAGTTTTTGGGCTGTCGAGGAGCCGGGTTGAAAAGACTATAGAGAAGAGAGTTAAATGGCGACGTGCTACTGAAGCCCACTGGGAACTCAAGGGACAAATAATAATGATATAGCCATATATGTGTCAGTAATATGAAGTTTTGCAATGACATTTTTGTGCAGAGTGTGACCAAATACAAACTATTTTTGAATTCATTACTGGACAGTTCAAAGTGAAACTTTCGACGTACTCATCTGTTTAGGCTGTCTCAGCAAATAATTTTTGCTAACGGATATACTACTGAGCAACTTGAGTAGTTCAAAGCATGTCACAGTGTTATTTTTATTTTGGTGCGCAGCCAAATCACTGGATTGCTGTTTCCCCCATTTGGATTTGAGTCAACCATTTAGAGGAGTAGCTGGAAAAAATTCACCTGATAGGACGAACTTCTCAAGTCATCTGAACCTTGTTAAACTGGCTTGGATGAACTGGTATATCTCAAATAGAATGCTGAATAAGTAATCTATGAAGTAAATTTGTTTGATTACATCGCTGATGAGCTAATTCTGCTCCAAAACGATTTAAATGGGTGTCCTATGTTTACACCACTCTGATTTGACTGCCTGTGGAAACCTATCGATCAACCTGAATACTTTCTAACTAATAAAGTTTTCTAGTAGTAGTATATTTTGTTACTTCATGGCGCTTTTGTATCAAAGATCACATCTAGTGACCTTGACTGCGTTGCTTTCAAAATAAACTCTGTCGACAACGCAGCTGGGCAGTTAATAAAGAACTCAGTTTTGAGAAATCACATCGTGGACTATACCATTTGTGAATCATTAGGAAATTGGTCATCCTATTTAGCTTTTGAGACGTTTTGGACTATACTTGATTGAGATGAACTCAGATGGTGTTACAGGTCAGCTTAGTCGCGCAGTAAACAAGTGTCTGAAGGAGCTGCTAGCAACATGTTTGACATCAGGCTCATCAGCAATACCTTTGAGGCGGTTCCTTTTAAGACATCCTTTTGATACAATTGCCAAAATTCCATTTTATTTAACACATCACAACTGTTTAGAATCTTTAGCTTAACTTTACCGTTTAAAGAGGTACTGTGGTGCAGAAACAAGTCAACCTAGATAGAGGGAGCTGCATATCTACCTCTCATTTTCAGCTGATCTTCAGAAAAAATTTTTGGTCATAATGAAAATCATTTGAAAATTTTCATATTTTGTTTACTGACTGATACCTACTTTGAATGATGTTATAAAATAGTCGACATGATTCATTGCTAAGTTATAACTGATCCAAGTTTGGTGCTTAACAATACTCTTCAGAGAACCCTGTCAGCAACCTCTACACAACGGATACCTGCTCACATGCCTATGATAAACAATATTGACTGACACAAGCAGTCAGAAACCCCTTACATAGATTAGTATTGCGAAGTAGTCAGAAAACAGTTATCTTAACAATTGATGGCCACTTCATCTATTTGAGGTCAACCTCATCAACTTTACAGCTTGATTACCTCAGTTTAAAAACCTGAGTTATTCCATTCAATCACGTGCGTTTATAGTGATTATTTTCGTCTGCTTCCATCTAAACTGTGTCAGCTATGCGCAACCCATTTTCCGGAGTGGGTATCGGTATTATTTCCAGTGAGACATGCACTAATACCTAATATGTACTCACATAGTCTTATATGCACACGTAACGAAAGTCACTAAGTGTAGTTTTCGCTAATATACTCTTCTATTAGTTAACTAACTTAAATCAACGGAAGATTGTTTCCAATCATTTACTTTGAACAGTTTGAGGGCATATAATGCTTCTGAAATCAATCTGTGATGGTTCCGAGTAAACTATCATTCAAAATAAGTAGGTTAACAAGAATAAATCAATTACCAGAGAGTATTTTAACTGGAGTAAATCATCTTCTAAACATTTCAATACCCGCAACGATTGGTCACTGGAGAGTAGATGACTTCATCTTGTCTAGTCCTGACTGCTGATCATTTTGTAATGTGTTCACAAGGATAAAAGACTCAGCTTCACGTTGCAAAGTGATTGTTGTTACATTGTAAAAAGCAACTGGTAAGAACCCTTGAACCTGAGTTTCGTGCCTATTGCGACTCGTCAACAACGGCTGTCTGAAACCTCAAGGGAGCTGTTGTCATCCAAAGGATTCCAACCTGCATCAATGAGTGATGCAGTCGGGGAGTTCAGAGTTTCAAATGGTCAATTCATCTGTCTAATCTAGCTCTTCTAGAGGTCAATCTGGGCTAAACTATCTCAGTCTCTGACTTCAGCGCTGATTGACGTCGGTTTGAATCTCCCCCGTGAAGGTACGTTCCGTTGAGGTTGTTGATGAATGTCAATAGACGCGAAACTTAGGTCCAGAACTTGTTACCAACCACCTATTATTACAATACTTAGATTTCATATGTATAAATCTCTTTATCACTCAACTACTTTGCACATTACTAAAATAAGATTCATTTTAGCCCATAAAAATAATTAAATTAACATTTAGCACTTGAGGGTTAAGCAGAGGTGAAATATCTGGTTCAACGTAAACACTGAATAACTTTGTATGGTGTTTGATTACTCATAATGCTAGATAAAAGTCTGTAGTTATACAAAGTCTAGACTAGATATACGTTTCTTACTTGCTGATATTTATCTGAGGAACACAAAGACAACTTGAAAGACACCAACCAATCTTTACGTCTGCGTGAACACTAAACAGCAGATGAACAAGTGTGAGAAATAAATATTGTTTTCGCGACAAAAAATAAACCTTTGAATTAAGAAGATATTTGTCCATAACGTTATTTGTAAATTCATAAAATCATCCCCTTCTTTAATTAAGTACTCACTAATCAGAGAGATGTAGCAATGGGAAATTAATATAATTGAAGGCACACACACAAACATATGGTCTGACATTGGGTAGATTGATCTGTCAGTTATTCAGCAGTTAGAGTATACACATGAGTTTTGTCACTCTCTCTCTCTCTCTAAGAAATCGATACATTTGGTTCGATTTGAAGCCTATGATTACAAAGCAAATCAATTTCATCCATTATTCATATCATAGAGCATTTATAGTGATTAAAATATCATGGTATAATATTCTCGCTTGGAAAAAAAAACAAAGACATAAACTACCCTGGTTTATATGCCAGTCCAGTACACTATATCAGCATACGATAGACATGTGTGATTGATGTTACTTTAAAGTAGTAGAATAGTCGATAGCCCGTTTGTTATCATCCAAATGACTGATATAAATCAGGTCGGGAAGCCTGCTAATTCATGGAAAAGTCAATTATGAGTACTAGAAGCCACAACAAACACTATCAAAAATTGAACTAATGCTTGATGAACATTTTTAAAATGACCGACAAAATTTAGTTGGAATTTCGGACTAGTCATCATGATGTTGATTACTCACCAGTGACTAATTAATGTAACAGTTTCTTCAAAACATGTTTTAAAGGCACTAATTCAGGTGATATTTTTAACAAGATTCAGCAAATACGATGATGAATACATTAGTAATTTGTCTAAATATGAAGTGAAATGTCATAGCCAATAATTTTAGCTTACCTGTTGAAATCGGTAAGTTTACGTCTTTTTGTATTGACGTTATGGTTGTTAGCTGATTGAATTCAGTTTCATGGCCAATTTGAGGTGCTGTGCGAGTTTCAATAGAGCCTGATGAAGTATTCAGTGAACAATAGAAAGTTTTATTTCTACATGAAGCAACTTATCAGTATTTATACAACTAGTAATAAAACGCAACTTTTCAATGTGGAAGTTTCTCCATTTTAAATATGACTGCGAAAGGCTACTTTATAACTACTATTTTGTATCATATATACGATTTGGATCACGTATCGAATATGTTTAATAGCTGCCATAGAGGTTTGTCATTCACTGATGGAGTGAGAAACCAATCTAATATTACCACTTTTGATGCGGAAGTACATCGAAAGAAGATTGATTCGTAGAAAGCCATAATGGAATGAACCAGTGAAGAATTTCAACACCTTAGTTCTCCTGAGTTGTGGGAGAAACATAATATCGTTTGCAGCTCAAATACTATCTAGAGATGGCAGGGATAGGCATACTAAGAATGAATTTGATCGAAAATGGATATCCGCCTCAGTTCATGTATTAAAACACCGAGCCATAAATGCGGTGATATGCCTCAATTTCTAATAAAATTCTCTTCTTACTGCTGTCATCTCAAACAGCCTATAAAAGATATTCCTTGTAGCACTTTTGCGATAAGCGTTTTCTAGTTTCCCTTAACTTTTAACAATCTGAAAGACAAGATCCTCCGTTTGACTATCCGTATGTGTGTTTACAAGTTTATCTCCTTTTGTCCATCACTCGATTCGAATCCTATCCAAAAGGCCTCAAGAACACTATCCTGAGTAGTCGCAAAGAGTTCTCTGCGTTCTTAAAAAGTTCTATAACTGAACATTTTATGGATACTAGTCCTTTAGTCTCAACAACCTGCAACTATTTGGAAGCTATTTACAAAGTGAAAAGAGACCAACCAAAGTCATTTTGTGTCTACCCCCTTTGGGTTTTCGAAGCTTTATAGAACCAAGTACAAAACCAGTGCTTTGCATGGAAAACAAACCTATTCAAGTCTTTCTCCCGTGATAGTTTTTATTTTCAGCATTTCAAAATACCCCTACTTCCAACTATTTCATTCTATTCATTGCTAAAGTATTATTGCACATTATCACCAGAAATTGTATAAATGTGTGACTGAACAGCTGGGTGAATGAAGCCATCAAAAACAGTCTCATCGCTGAACCACCTGATTTCATTTTCTTATTTATGGGATTTTTTTCGTGAATATCCAAGTTTAGTGTAAGCATTTCAAATACTTAACTTGTTTTTATATATTTAGCATATATACACAACTTTGTTTGATTTCATTCTTAACGGGTTGGCAACTAAATATTCCAAAGATCATAGTCTGGTATTTGTAATTTGTTGGATGTAGGGATTAATTAGGTGATCCACACATGTATGAGAGGACCCATCAAGTTACAAGCACTGGGTATCTTTCGGTCAAAGGAAATTGTTGTAATCTGTAATTTTTTGAAATCTGGCAACAGTTTAATCTAAAAACGTCCTATGTTGTAGGAAGTTGTATAACCTCAGTTTAAGAAGTCATTTTTGCCTTTTCGGAACACTTTCAAAATGTCTTTGAATCATGTACATACGTCAAGCGAGAAGAGTAACTAGGATACGTTAATCTCACTAGAGTTGGCAGCGATTTCAAAGTAATTAACTGAAATTACCTTAGTTGCATACACTGAAGAACATGAATTGTACTTACTTTCATTTTGTGTTCTACTGGTGAAGTCTGGAGTGGGAATTGCAGTTGGATCGGTCGAAAAGGTTTGATTTACATGATTCTTTGTAGCATCCAATGTATCTGTAGATAGAAGTTAAATGTAATCACTGTAGTTTATTATTAATTTTCGAATTAAACAGGAATCAATGGAAAGTGAACGACATAAGCATATACAAAGGGACTTTCTATGGGCGATGATGAATTATTAACAGGAGATAGTAAATACAGTCAGTTAATTACTTCCTAAAAATTAATTTTTGATTTTTTACGTTCAAATTCAACGTAATCATGATCGAGTGAATGAATGAATTAATTGAGGATCTTAGAATAGTAACTAGGTGATTTAAAGGCTCAGGTAACCTGATGTGTGGTTATTTGGTAAGATATACGTATTACTCTGTCTAACAATAATCATTGTTTGTAAAAATTAGTCCCTTTAATAAATTTCGATAACGCCATTAGAAGACGAAGATTATCTGAACAATGTAATGTGTATTTGCGCAATACATTTCGAACAATCTGATCACACATTTACTTGTCATGTCAATTTATATATGAAAATGAAAGGTGAAATATAATGAATCAGGAAAGGTTGTGACACTAGTTTAGATAATGTAATCAGATAAGGATTAGCAAGGTAGATTAAGTGAAACAACAAATTGTTTTTGTGTTCACAAGGGGCTTAAATTTACGACTGGCTAACGCTTCAAGAAATTTCAGTATGGGGCTTTGACTACTGGTACATAATATCTTGAACGGTATTTTTGTATTAACCTTATGATTCGTTTCGATGACATGTTTTGGTATAGTTGAAGATGGATGTCTGTCACCGCCACTGATCAAAGTTTGTGTGTTAAATTGCTTTCCAAGCCATTTTGGTTTGTGTTCCCTTACCTTAGTCTGCATTAAGCGATTACTCCTCCCTATGTGTGTGTCCACATATACATGTAAATTGGTAAACACGGTGGGGGATATGACAAAATCATTTATGCGAAGTTGAGGTTTGCGGCGAAACAGGTGTTTTGTTGTCTCAACAACGATAAACCGAGCTGGATAGTATGTTTTACTGACAACAGATTTTAATCTCATTTTCAATATCATACTACTCGTTTCCCCTCTGTATGGAACTTTAAGAAATATATCCTATTATATGACTGAGGAAATTATAAGCTTCAGGCTTAGCTGTTTTCTACAGCGATTCACAAACTGTAATGGATATCCGTTTTTCATTAGTGTGTCTGTTAGAAATTCGCTCTCATTATCCATTGTATGAGATGTACAAATCTGTTGGATCCTACTGAATAAGCATGTTACTAAGCCTTTCTTATATTTCATTGGATGAAAGCTGTAGAAACCCAATCACTATTCTGTTCAAGTATACTTTCTATGGGTTAATCGTCTGATACATCCGTCTTCCCTCCGACACAAAAGTACATCAAGAAATATAAGTTGATGGTCATTTGTTTCCTCACATATGAGACTGATATGATATTGTACGACACTAAGCCTTTTTAGCAAACTCCCGGTATCCTCATCTGTGTCACATAATACAATGACATCATCAATATACCTCCTATAGAATGTGACATTACTGATTAAATCCTAAGCCGTTAGTTCAATGTGATGTATATACATTAGCTAATAACGTCTTAATAGGCTCCCCAAAGCAACAATATCAATCTTCGAAAAATATTCACCTTCGAAATTGAAATGAACCTTATCAGTACATAATAAAAGTAGCTGTTTCAAATACATTCGAGAAATAGGAAGAGAAGAATAATTCAAAGATATCTAATCCTAAAGAATATTAACTGTCTTCGTTAGAGGCACATTCGTAAACAAAGAGTTGTTATCAAAAGAATACATTTTCTTATGTCTGATATTCATATTATTAAGACAATCAACAGGTTCAAAAGTATCTTTCAATCAATACTTACATAGATCATTACGAATCACGTTCAGTATCTCGGGCTAACCATTTCGTCACTTTGCTTTTGGAAGACTGATACATTGACAATATTGGGCGTAATGGGTTATTAATTTTATGAAATTTTAGAAGTCCATATAAATTGGGAAAATTAGATCCCATGGATTTAAAGGAGTTGAACTCCACTTCAGCTATAAGATCCATATTAAGGAGTTTAAATAGACTAAATGTTACTTTTCCTTCTAATTTTTTTATATTCTCTGATGGAGCATCCGCCATGAATTTACGTTCATCACAAAGAATAGACATTTTATTTTTTGTACTTTAATTTGTCCATCAACACAACACCTGATCCTTTATCAGACTTAAGAATTATCACATTAGGATTCTTCTGTAAGTTTATCGGGGACTTAAAGTGTTACCTAGTTAAAATGTCTCTCTTTTTGAGCCTGAATGATGGGATTGATTGGTGATATCAACTTGTTTAGCCTTAAACCAACCCTGGTTGTCAGAAGAGGTAGGAACTAGCGAATTTAACTGATCATATAAATTTTTGAAATGTGCATGAATGACTTAATCATTATTATGATAGTATGGAACTGAAAATTTGAATCCAAGGGAAAGATCTTCTTATATACCAAAAGTCTAACTGAAGATAAATTTGTAACATATTCATCCGGATTCACTGAAAATGACTGTATATGATCACTGATAGAAGATTTCGATGACTTTTCCTGAGTTTCCGCCTACGTTTTAATTATAACTGAACTACAAAAATTGATAAATTTGATATGACAAACTAAAGAGATGTTAGACAGCACAGAAGAAGCAGATACATGAAGTTCAATTAATCGGCATAAATTCTCACTTCAACTATTCATATAAGAGTTCGTGAGACGAATAAGATTTGATGTACTAGGATGTAATTTTGAACATCATAAAGATTTATGGAATGATCTTGAGAATTTGTGATTAGATCTACATGATTTATAAATTTCCGGCTTCACTTTTTTCAGATGTTATTTTGAACTTGAGGTTAAACAGTTCATCTAACCGTTTAACAATACAACGAGGGAGTCTTCTTCTGAGAAATTTGAAACAATTAGTCTGTTTAATAAACTTCAATAATTCTATTAGAAGATGAAGATTATCTGAACAATGTAATGTGTATTTGCGCAATACATTTCGAACAATCTTACCACACATTTACTTCTCATGTCAATTTATATATGAAAATGAAAGGTGAAATATAATGAATTAGGAAAGGTTGTGACACTAGTCTAGATAATATAATCAGATAAAGATTAGCAAGGTAAATTAAGTGAAACAACAAATTGTCTTTTTGCACACAATGAGGGCTTAATTTTGATAATCCTAATCTGATTACAGACTAGTGTCTGGTGTCACAATCTTTTCTTGTTCATCATATTTCACCTCTCATTTTACTTTTCATTTTTATATATAAATTGACCTGACAATTAAATGTGTAATGAGATTGTTCGAAGTGTATTGCACAAATACGTCACATTTTTCAGATAATCTTCGTCTTCTAATAGCGTTATCGAAAGCAATCATTGTTAATTTGCAAATGATTCATAAATTGCACGTTCCTCCTTAACAGTTTTCACAGATCAGTCTATTCTCAACTGCCCAACTGTGGAAACTGCTCCGCCAAGATCACACGGTATGATCTCTGACACAAATATGTCATGAATTAGTGAAAGATACTACAAATAGATAACTTGAGTATTTGGAAAGCACTCAGGCTGGTAGATCAGAAAGATCTAAGCACTGAGTGATCATTTCTGTCGATTTCCGCCGAGCTAGCTCGTTAGTGTTTAACTCGGAGAAATTCAGCTCACATAACCTAGCTTTTAAGGTCACCTTAGTCTGGCTAGCTGACTTGGATGAGGGGTGGTACATTCTAAAATAGAATGATCATTTGGGAAATGACCTATACCTAAAATTCTTAGACTACACAGCATGTAATACGTTTGATATGAATATCGATGAAGAGAAATTCTTGTAAATTAGTTTTTTTAAGATCGGTTCACTGTAAATAGGCAACAACATCTCTATCGAACGATTTGATCAGATGCGATTATTTCTCGGACACTGTCTGTATGCATTTCTCCTCATTTTGTTTCATTGCAACAAAAACTTAACTTTATTGGTAACTATATTTTGAATGCAAAACTACATTTAGTCTTAAGTTCTTTTCACACCTTGCGTTTTCCGCAAAATATTCCTCGTTTGAAACATAACTTGCTAATCAGATTCGCTTTATGCATCCAATGAACAAGTATGTAGTCAAGATTTTTTGTAGGTTGAATTGTCTATAATTAATTGTGGAGAATGTCAAACTTGATTTCCCTCACCTATTCACATTCACATCTGTATTGATGATTCTATTCATGTAAACAATACACTTTTTATTAAGTCGCGCTTCAAACGTTCATTTTATTAAGTTATAATTTTATGAATCATTGTTTATACTTCATTATGGAAACAAGATACACGTGAGGAAGATTACTGTATTCTTTGTTCAAGATTGATCATGATTTCATGAAATGCAGACATCTGTATGTCTGCTGCATATATATATATATATATATATATATATATATATATATATATATATATATATATATATATATATATTCTGGATGAGATATCGTGAACTTACAGGAAAACTGAATGTCAACTAAAGCTGATCCAAGGGTTACATTGAGTTTCTTCCATCCTTCAGTCAAAACAGTTGTGATCTCACCATCACTTAACTTTGAAGCCTTTAATGATCCAAATTCCAGTGTGATCGTCACCATAACACCTTGTGTTACATTTGTGAAATTAGGCTGGATAGGAACTTTTCTGAATGTGACATTGAGAATATCAAAAGCCAGTGAAATTTCTGAATCTTGTAGTTGTAGACTTCTTGAAACCTGTTATATCAGTGATGAAAAAAGGGCAACATAAAAATATTCATACAAGTTTCTGTGAGTGAGCGGTGTGTAAAAAACATGCATTTTATTACGTTTTTAATGTGCTGAAATGTCCAATGTGGTAAAGATTTTGAATTGGTCCGTAATGAGGTGGTACTGATCGTAGTTAATGCCACGTTAAGTGTTTGGGTAGTCGTTTAATGATGGCTTAGGTACTGCAATCTATGCATTGCATTTTCACGTTGATACTCAATCTTCAATTCAGTGCTTAAACTTCATAAAAATCAACAACCGGAGATATTAGTTCATGGTCAAACGAAATATAAAACATAATCGTCTGACTTCTACAAACATTTGTGTCAATCAGCGAACCACTTTCTATATCATCAATTCATGCCACGTAACAAGTGTGCATGAATGATATGTAGATGAAGATCTCCGTGTTCTCCATCAGCTTGATCACGTGAACTTTTGACAACCCCATTCACCATGGGATGTCAGCATGGAACTTGAAAGAACATGTTTTCAAAGTCTGTTGAGAATTTCTTGCATATAAAGGTGAAAATAAGACCATCTATAATTATTTGGATGGCGAATTCAATCCTCTAACAGGTCATCTAGTGACATCAACTGCTGTAAACAAACTTTATGTGGCATTTAATCCCAAAACACTGTACATGATATCATACGCAAATTTGGATTTCACTGTTGTAAATAAAGAATAAATGCTTAGGGTATCATATGTGATGATAGGAACGCAAATTCAGCAAACGCTGTCACCTTATGGACAAGGAATATATTTTAGCTTAGCACATGTTCAAGACATTGTTAAGGGAGTTAACTGATCTACTGTTGGCCAGATTTGTAGCCTACCATGTACAGCTTTTTACTGATGTTTAACTGGTCAGATATGAATGATATCTCAAAGCACTTGGCTGTATCTGAAAATCCACTTGTACAATAGTGATAGAAGCCGACCTTAGGCTTGTGGTGACATAATTCTTCATACTGCATACGAATACTTGGACACATGTCTACAATTCTGAATTAGAAGAATTCATGAGATTCTCAAGTACTCACTGTCAGACTACTTGGACGCTTCCATTTTAGTTTGTTTATCAGAGGAATCACAGTACAGTGAGGTGCTATTAACCACCAGATAATTTTATTTCATGTTATTTCATAGTTCCTAATGTCACAAAATCACATAAAACCTACGAAACCTGGTTTCCTTTCTAGTTTTTGTCTCATGCACTTCCTGACTATAGACGTAGTCGAATTCATCAGATAACCAGTGTACTTATGTTTGTGTTAAGTAATCTCATAGCATGGATTCGGTGTTTATTAAGCTAAATTTATAATTTCCATTGAGACTTCAAAAACAAGATACTCAGCAAAGGGAACTCTTTTCAGCGAATTTATTCTCAACCTGTACATTCGTATTTATATTTAAAGACTGCTATCTGTGAGAACCGATGAAAAGAGCCTAGAAGATTTGAATTTCGCCGATGATGATTTATGTCTAATGTCACACAAACTCGAAAACCTACAGGTGAAAACTAACAAGTTATCAGAAGAGGTGAGGCAGCGAAAACAGGACTTCAAGTGAATATAGAGAAGACAGAGGTGATAAAGATACCCAACCAATAATAGCATTAACAACAAGCACTAATCACCATTAACGGGAGAAATATAAACGAAGTAGTCTTTTCCACCTACGCCTACCTAGGCAGCATCGTTCTAACTACAGGCGGCGGCTTAGAAGAGAATGTCAAAACCAAGATCGGAAAGACAGCAAGACAGGCTTTCATTAATTTGAAATCAGTGTGGAGATCTACTGCACTGAACTGCACTCAGCAAAAAGCGTGGACAAGATTTGGATTTTCAACACCAATCCAATCAACTCAGTGCTTCTGTGTGATGGTTCAGAAACTTGGTGCGTTACAAAAAGTACTTACAACAAACTACAGACATAAGTCATCAACAGCTGCTGCCTACCCTGGCTCCATACTGAAGCTCAGATGGCCGAAATAATAAGAATAAGCAACAAGGAACTCTGGCAACGAACCAACCAACAACCTATCACCCAACAAATATTCAGAAGAAAGGGAAGATGGATTGTGCATACAGTGAGAAGGCCGACTGGAGACATCACATGCCAGGCCAGGTCCTCGAGTGGAATCGGATTGAGGAACGACGAGTTTGGCGTCCCAGGTGAGGGTGACATGGAGGAGATCATGTGAGGAAGAAATGAAAGCTTGTGGGTAGTTGTAATGCTAGGTTGTAAAGATTGCAGAGAGGAGAGTGTAATGGAGGCGTGCTACTGAAGCCCTATGTTCCATTAGGAACTCAAGATAAAAGATTTCAATTAAATAATGAGAGGTTGAAATAAAAATTAAGGTGGTTATGATAATAATGTTTCCGGTTGATGACGTAATGGCTAAATAATAGCAAGAAGGTGTTACTTAAAATTTTCAAATCGTTTCCTAAATACATATAGTTTACAAAGGGACAAAAATGTGGTAGAGTTATTAAGCAATTAAAGAGTCAGGTAACATAAATAAGACAAGTTAGTTGGAATAGATTGAAAAGGTTTTGTTAAAAGTTGCAATTATTAGGAAGATCAAATGGAGTAATACCGGAAACTATCAAATGTAAAGATAAAATAACGATAATGTCGATATAAGAGTACGACGATTCATATAACAAAGAAGATGGAGTTGAAGAAACGAAAGGGAACTAAAAACACCAAGACCAAAATAAGTTAGGGCCAAGGTTGAGACAAACATTAAATATACTACGTTTGCACACAAAGGTCAGGCCTGAAAATCATTTTTATCATAGATTATTTTCAACTACATTTATGGTTTGTGCTTTGTATTTGGAATATAGTTTTTATCATTAACTGTTCTACTGGTGGAAGCAAAGAAACTATTTTACCTGCTGACTGTTTGAGGGCAAGAAAAACTTCATTTCTATGAATATAAACGAGAATCGTATACACATCGGTAGTTCAGAGGTTGTGAAGTCATCTCTACAATGCAACGAATGAGTCTGTGTGATGAGGATAGACCCATATATGTAACAATACTATTATTATCATTAGTCCCTTGGCTTCAGTAGCACGTCTCCATTCCACTCTCTTCTCTGAAATCTTTTCAACCTGGCTCCACGACAGCCCAGAAGCTCTCATTTCCTCCTCGCACGATCTTCTCCATGTCACCCTCACCACGGACGTCCAACTCGTCGCTTCCCATGGGGATTCCACTCGAGCAACTGGCCTGACGCGTGATGTCCCCTGTCGGCCTTCTCAGTGTATGCCCAATCCATCTCCACTTCCTTCCACCGCATATTTGTTGGGCGATAGGTTCTTGGTTGGTTCGTTGGCAACCAGCCAGAGTTCCTTGTTGCTTATTTTTACTATTCTGGCCATCTGATCTTCAGTAGCGAGCCAGCGTAAGCAGTTGTTGATGAATGTCTGTAGTTTATTGGAAATCCCTTTCATAACGCACCAAGTCTCTGAACCATCACATTGAAGCACTGACTTGACTGACATTGGTGTTGAAAATCCGGATCTTGTTCGGCATGCTGAGTGCAGAAGATCTCCACACTGGTTTCAGGCTAACGAACGTCTGTCTTGCTTTTCCGATCCTGACTTTGACATCCTCGTCTGTACCTGTGCTGCCTGTAGTTGAAACAGTGCTGGCCAGGTGGATAGGTGAAGGAGGTTACTTCCTTTAAGTTTCTCCCGTTGATGGTGATTGGAGTTTGTTGGTGCGGTATCTTCATCACTTCTGTCTTCTCTATATTCACTTGAAGTCCCGTCTTCGCTGCCCTGCCCTGCCCTGCCCTGCCTCTTCTGTCAACTTGTTAGTTTTCGCCTGTACATCTTCAAGTTTGTGTGACATCAGGCACAAGTCATCGTTGGCGAAATCCAGATCTTCTAGGTTCTTTTCCGCAGTCCAGCCAGTGTATCCCCCTCTTCTCACAGCTCCTCACTGTTTGCTGCATGATCCAGTCTAGTCGACCGCAATCAGGAATATCATGGGTGATAGTAGGCAACCTTGTTTCACTTCTGTCTTCACTTCGAAAGCATCATTGAGCTTCCCATTGTAAATTACTTGGCTGGCATATGGCGTCTTCATTTAGTTGTTGAATGAGGCTGATAAGGGTTTGCGGTATTCCGTAGTATTGAAGCAGTTTCCAAATTACCTCTCGGTCGACGCTGTCAAAGGCCTCCTCAAAGTCGATAAAGTTGAGGTGTAGAGTTGACTGCCATTCTATACTCTGTTCTATGATGATGCGTAGTGAAGCGTTGCAATTTGGTCGGCACATGATTTGTACTTCCTGAATCCAGCCAGCCTGCGTGTTCCGGTCGCAGTTTTGAGTCCAGTGCATCCTTTAGCCTCTCTCTCCAGGATGATGCGGCATAATATTTTGCTGGCACTGGGTGGACAGGAGAGTGACTCCGCGCCAGTTCTTGCAAACACTGAGGTCTCCCTTCTTTGGCAGTTTGACAAGGTAACCCTTCTTCCAATCAATTGGCAGGTACCTTCTCTCCCTTCCACACCTTCTGCAATAGTGGTGTGGTGTGAGCATGTCCGTTGTTGTCTCTGCGTCTGCTCTCAGTTCTTCTGGCGGGATTCCATCTGGTCCTGCTTCCTTCCCACATTTCAGTATCTTTATGGCGTTCAGGACTTCCATTTGTGTTGGAGGATTTATGTTCACTTGTAGTTCAGCGGTTGGGCTGCAGGTGGTATTTCTGGACGAAGTGCAGGTGGTGGTCGATTCAAGAGCTTCTTGAAGTGGTCGGCCCATCGTTTCCTTTGTTTCTCTTCTTTCGTAATTAAATTTCCATCATCATCTTTTATTGGCTTCGTCTGCGTTGATCTCTTCCCTTTCAGATAGCAACCTGGTTATTTGATACAATGTTGTCAGGTCTCTGTCTCTCCTACCTGCAGCAGCCTGTTCTGCTTCACTTGCCAGTGTTTCGTAGAAGTGTCTTTTGTCTTTGCGTGCACTCTTCTTCACTTCCTTGTCCAGTGTAGTGTTTTATACATTGTACCCAGTTCCTCTTGTCGTTGAGTATCCTTGCACTGCACTGGTTTATCTTCTGCTTCACCATCCTCCTCTCCCTGCTCTATCAGCTTCCAGGTATCCGTCCAGATCCATTCCACTCCTTATCTTCTTTCTTCTTCCTTCCTAATACGGTTGTGCAGGTTTCTTTCCACACAGCTTTCAAAGACTTCCAGTGTTCTTCCACACAGGTTTCTTCAGGGATGTTCCTCGATATCTCCCATTTTGTCTTGATGGCTGACTGAAGTGAAGATTTCCTTTGTAGTTTCATCCTTCAGTTTCCGACCTGGGTGTTGAACTTGAACTGTGGTCTATCACCAGCTTCCTTGAAGGCTTTTGACTTGATTTGGAAGGTTCCTTGCACTAGATAGTGAGTGATATGAACCTACATCTGCTCCTCTTCTTGACCTTGTGTCAAGTAGACTGCGTCTCCATTTTCTTCACATTGAGATAAAGTCGATTTGATTTTTAGTGTGTCAATCTGGTGAAATCAACTCCATGTCGCTGCCTTGTGGATATCCTTGTGCTTAAACACACTGTCTGTCTCCAATCACCAAACCGTTGAATGCACAGAATTCTGCAAACAATTCTCCATTCTCGTTCATCACCTCACCGAGCGCTTCTCGACCCATGGTTAGTTCTCTTCTTGTGTCGTCCGCTCCCAGTTTGGCATTCATGTCACCCCACCCATTAGAATGAGTTTTGATATCGCCAACTGATGTTGGGTCTTGTCCAGTGTTGATTGCAGTTGTCTGTAGAATTCCTCCTTTTTCTCTTGATCTTCAATATTTGTAGGTGCCTAGCATTGTATGATTGTGACCTTCCTTCCTTCCTTTTGAGTTGAACCCGTCTTGCTGTCATGATCCTGCATGAGGAGATTGGTTGCCACTGCATGAGAGCCTTCGATGCTGTTGGGGATATCATGATAGCCACTCCAAAACTCAGTGTGCTCGTGGTTGTCTTGTGGGTGACAATATCGGAGTAGATTATTGATTCTCCAGTTGACAGTTTGGAGAGTCCACTCCCATTCCATCTGCTTTCGCAAATTCCAAGCACTTCAGTGTGATACCTCTTCATCTCGTTTGCAATCTGGGCTGCCCTACCAGCTGGGTTGAAACATCGTGCGGACATTCCATGTCCCCTTATTTACTTTCGCTTGCATCAAAAGAGCGAAGACACATCTGCCAATTGTTTTCCCGAAGGCTTTCACCAACTGGCGTCATTTTGCCTCTCCGATTTCAGCTAGGAATAAGTTTGTTTTTATTTATTATATTTTGTTTGTGCTTTGAAGTTTGTTTAGCGGTTAGATTTGTTTTCTGGCGTAGGGTTGCTAGTCCTATGCCCAACCTACCCTCTTTACTCGGGCTTAGGACCGGCTAGTAACTAGTGAGCTAATTAACCAGACGAGGTTATGCAACAGTACTAGTTAAGCTTAAATGATTTACTTGAAGAATGGTAATACTCGCCAGTAATTAGTACTAACAAAAGTCTATTGATCAGTGTATTTATGTTAGCCGCTTAGTGAGGTGATATGGCACTACGGTGTACTGTATTTCTGTGTTCGGTACTGAGGGTCAAGCGGCATACCTCACTGTTAAAATCCATGATATCAGCACTAAGTGACAACAATGTGAATCACCAAAAGAATATCAGTCTGCTCGGTTTTACAATCACCTCGCTGATGATCACCAATAAGTACGAAGCCAATATCCAAGGCTTCTGGCAGTACAACTTTGAATTCCTAATAGCTGTTGACAAATGTCACTAAAATATCAAGATGTCACTTTATCACTCATACATATATATCAACATACCTGGAAAATAAGTCCTGATACTAAATTTTTGTGAAGTGCACTTGAACTATCTGCTATATCTTCTGACCAATTCAGTGGTACGAAATTTTCTGCTGTATAAACCAATGCTTTCATTTGACCGACAACAGCTTCTGAAAATCAATTGAAACAGAAATCCAAAACAGGGACGGACTTTATCATAAAGGCAACAGCTTAATTCTTGGGTGATGAATGAAACTCTATGGCATTCCAGTCAATTTGAACACATATCCATACTGAATATAACAAAGATCATGAAACATATTTCAGCTTGAAGTAGCAGCATATTCAACTTTTAATTTTCTGATTAATATCAAACAGAAATCGTTAGGATAGCGCTATTAAAGGGTTCAGTGCAAAACCTTCGAAATAATAAGACATAAATATTTATTTACCATGTTGACCCAGAAGATATTATAATAACGGTGTGAAGTAGTGGCCATGCCAAAAATAGATGGGGACTTTACCGGAAGAAACTGTCTGTTACTTACCGGAATTGAATCAGACTAATAAACTAGATAACCATTCAGCTCATATAAGAACAAATTATGACGTGAGTGCGACTCATGAAATACAAAGGAGGGTTGTTTTTTCTATTCAGTGATCCTTCGAAGCCGTGATAAGAATAAGTTTCGTATTTACTTTCAATCTACTACAGTGTCTGACGGAAGAAATTGAGCAATCTGTTCATCATATTTAATTACGTAAGAGAGAAACACCGTAAAGAGATACTTAGACCCCACAGTGGGTACAAGGAGTGATCACTAGTGTAAACCAAAGAAGTATCTGGCTGAACAGTATTAAAGGATTTACTGGATGGAAGAAAGCTGTGACTGTAGGAATACTTTTCTTTTTCTGATGGTAAATAAAATCGAATTACTGTTAGTGAATTTTCTCCAAAATATAATCTATCACAATTACTCACTTTTTCCCTTAAACTTTGAATGCATATACTTATTTCTTACTGAAATATGTTCTACAGAACTATTCATCAAGATATTATGTGACATGTACCAAATTAAACATTTTACATTAGATGACAAACACTGAAACCCTCATTTCTTGGATAAAAGTAGGCAAGAAACAAATACATATGTATCCCTTCAGATAAACTTACTGTCACCTATTGGTGGCAAGGTACTTTCAGAGTACAGCCATGCGAAGTTATCATCATCCGTTACATGCACTGCAGGTGTAGACGATCTGGTTGCAATTGTGTTCATATCAATTTTTGTAAGTATATCTGTTTCTTTTTCAAACAAGGTTGCTGTTTCGATGATTCCTATGATTAAAGAGGAAAACAAGAAGTACAGTTGACTTCAACTCCATTTGTGTAAAAGAAAACGTCTTAGTGACCAGGCTCAGTGAAAAACTAATGTTGCTGCATATAAGTATACTAAAGTTTTAAATATCTTGCTTTCAGGAGGCTGTTTAAATAATATTTTCTGGGTAACATTCATTAACAATGATCTCTACTTAGAAGTTCATGACAATTAAGTAAATGACACAAATGTAACCAGCATATAATTTGTGTATCGTGTAGTATAAAGAAACAGCGGATTACTGTTTGACACAGTGAAGTATCATGTTCACCATTACACTTCTAACGACTACCTAGAATTCGTAAACCTGATACCGCACAAGTCATAAAGTAGATTTGATAATTTCTCTACAGCATGGTTTTTCAAACTATCGTATATCTGTACTTTGACATCCCTCAAAATCCATCGTCAGACCACTCCGTTAATAAACACAGTGAAGCAAAATTGCTGGAGATTAGGAAATATTAATGTTTGGTGTCTGTCATTATTGCAGCAGCATACCTATTTTAAAACAGATGAAATCTTAGTGGATTACCTCCTTCCAACTGAATCAAAGACTGTCAACACCAACATCACGCTACAAGTTTATTTCAAATATGTAGAGGTTATATGTACCAAGTAATTTTTAAATAATGCACAGATATGGGAGTCAGTGAAAGGTGTAAGTCATGGTAGGTTGGAAATGGTGTTTGAATATGATTGGAAGTGGGAGATTTGTGATCGGTGATGTGTGGCTAGCTCGTGTGACCTGTTCAATTCGTGAGTGTTTGTGTGCTTGAAACTGTCTAAATGTGTGTGTGCTTCTCAGTGTGCATATCTGTATGCCTGCATGCTTGAATGACAGTGCAATTGTGTGAATTTGTGTGCGAGATGGTGATATGCAGGTGGGTGGTTTCGAGCTGACCAGGTGTGCACTGATGATGGCAAATAGTGATTGCAGGAAAGGAAGCTGAAACTCACCCGTAAGCGTCGATGACTCCAACACTCCGTTTGTTGTCGTCGTGGTGTCGACGTCGTATGGTGTGGAAGTGGTCAGGTCAGACGGAGTATGCTGACTGGTTTCACTGTGTGACGGGATGAGGGTGGACGTTGAGGCGACACCTGTTAAGAGAAGGAGTGAGAATAGGAAAATGAGTGGAAGAGTGGGGTAGTGATGGATGGTGAGGACAGTTGGTATGACTTACACGCTGCGTGATGTAGAATGCACGCAAGTTAGGTGGGCTGACTTATACCGGAAGATTCACATGTTCTAACTGATATGAGCTGCTGTGGTGAGAGTGTGTGGATGCACTGTAAGCGTCGTTGTGAATGTGAGTGGGTGTCTGAGGCAGAGTGAGAGTGAGATCGTGTGATGCATCTAGTGTTAGCTGTACCGTGCTCTTGGTATTTGTGTGTTCGACGATCAGATGTTTTGTGTGTGTGTGTGTATGTTCATGCCGTTGGGCCAGATGAGGGTATATTGTATCGGTGTTGGCAGATTACTGAGGTAATAGCGACGCACAGGTAGGAAATGCGTAGTTGCTTTGTTTTCATCAAGTGATGTGGGGTGGAGTCCGACTGTGGTGTGTGAGTGCATAGAATTCTGTAGAGCATATGTGTATGTGTGTGTGTTAGCTATTGGTTTTCCTATTCTTGTGGATGTGTTGCTGTGGTGGCCAGACTGTTCATGGGTGCCTATGCTCGTATGGTACGTGTGTTATTATGCCTGAATGTGTGTGAGTGAAGGATTTGTGATTAGAGTTGTTGCACGTGCGACCTGTTGAATGTGTGAATGTTTGTGTGCTTGAGATTGTCTCTGTGACTGTGTTTTGTTTACTGCTGAATCTTTTGCTTCCTGTCAAGTTTAACGGGAATTATGTGTACCTTTGGAACTTGTAGAACATTGGTATCTACCTGAATCCTAATATATTGGTTATAATACATCAACGTATATCTCTTCCTCATTATTCGCACTTTTTTTGTATTTTTTGACGCACGTTAATAACTCAAAATCGTCTTCATTTTGTTCTCATGCCTCCAATGATCATGCTTCACCTTGAAATATATTCTTCATATTATGCAACTTTTTATTTTATCCTGTTATTTATATTGGTTTCTGTTCTATTCTGCGACTAGTTTTCACCATGTATCACACCCCTATGAATTTTTAATCTTCATTCAACTTTATCTTCGTTACCAGATTAAATTGAATAATTCTACTAACCATACAATATAGTTAAAGAAAAGTGTATAAATTGCTGTTATAAAACTATGGCAAATGGACTCGCTGGAAAAGTTATCTTTGCTGAACTACTGTGTTTCTCTGATATTTGACATGGCACACCCAGTTGTATAGTATAGCATACTTGATGGTGTTTTGACCGTAGGTTCCTGCTCATATTCATATCAGAGTAAACACATAGCTTTCAAAATCTCATTTTGTTGTCGTATCATCTTGTACTCTTTGATTGCAGTGACAATTAATTCTTCCATATCTCTTTTATAGGTGTCATCTAAGTGCATGATTCAGTAATCAATCTGTCCATCTAACTGTAGTGAGCATAAGTGGTGTAGTTCTATCCCACCTGCATATAACTATACAAACATACAGAGAATACGAGGTGATAGAACTATAAAATGTAGCTACCGTAGGTTGCGTAGTTACGTTGATGTGACAATGTAAATTATTCTGTGGTTGAAACGTCATCCAGCAAACAATACTGTATCAATATATCCTGTATCCACTACAGTGCCCAAAAAGTTCTTCCTCAAGATATATGCCAAGTTTGACACTATCTAGAACTAGACCAACCTCACTTCTAAAAAAGAGACCTGGCTGAGAGTTACGCTTATTTTTAATCTATAAAAATGAATGTCATTAGGCATAAAACTGCCTTGTTGACAACGCTAACATAGGGACATATTTAACCTAGTCACTGAGTATCTGCAAAGCGCAGAAGCTTCTCTAAATATGATATCAATGACGGTTAGTGTCTAGCAGTGGAATCTAGAACTCACGTTTCCTCTCATTTGAGACTTTGTAGTTGAATGTAAACGCCTTTCATTGAGTGAAATTACAGGCTATAATATCTGAGCTATACTATGTGTCACATAAGGAGTGAATAAAACCCTGGAGTTTGAAGTGACCGGTCCTGGCTTTGAGTCTTGGCTGGTAAAATCAATCACTCGGAGACTGGTACATCCAGCTGACGAGTAGAGATTTGTATGAAATGAGTGTCCTGGATCTTACTGGTAATCACTAATCATCATTAATACAGAGACGATTTATTCTCACATTAGACCAACGTTGATAAATTTTGTTTGATTATCAAGAATATGACCAAATAAATCATTCTTTCTTTTTTATCAAAAAGGAGTTACTTTTTTCTCATCCTTGAACTCAGTAAATGTAGACTTCTGCTTCCAACTGAAATCGTTTTCACAGGTAATCATTTGAGCGAAATGAGACTGAACAAACGTTAAGTTGCTGCAACTAGATTTCTATACTTCAGAGGTTTCGATTTGACTATCGAATCGACTATTACTTGACTGACACACAGTAAGCAGTGAACACAATCAAACAGTATTATTTACTGAATTTTTTGAAAAGACATACTCTTTCCCTATGAAGTATATGATCTTAGAAAGCCCAGACCCCATTGTTTTTCGATTTAAGCGTTTCTTACACAGACAGGACATAAATTAAAATGAAATAGGTGTTATTATTTACTAAGTGTGACGCAGTGTAGTTGACTTGTTTTTCTTTCTCTCAGTTTTCCTTGGAAATGTAGTGTCATGTTTACCTCCGTAATTAAACCTTTTTTGTGGGGGTACAGACTTCATGTCTGACGTATACAGAAGGGTAGATGAGTTGATTGGAATGATTTTCTTAAGTTCATGTGGTAATAAAGTTGAGAAAATTCCCAGATTCTCAGGTCCACATTCATCCTGCGATGCCTAGAGCTATAGAAAAGGTAGGTTTCAGAAATAGATAGTGGTGTATCGATTAGATCTTCATCTCTTAATAGGATTTGGAAAACAAGTATACATAATGGCCATATTTCATGACCTGTAGGCGGTATTTGACACCGTCGGTCGAGAACTGTTGTTACATCGTCTCAATGTGGAGAGAGCATCAAACAAGTAAGTAGTACCGATCAAGGCTGTTTAATTATACTTGTGTTATCGTGTAAGGGCTCAAGTAGAGTTCCTTTCTTTTTTCACCAAAAACTTTCAGTATTGCTATTCTTACCAAACCTTCTTACATATGAACTAGTGAATGTAAGGTACCTATGACTTCCCATGTATGGTTTACTTTCATGAGAGCACTTAGATGACTTGGATTATTCTTTCGCAATAGATGAAGACGTAAAAGTCCAAACATAAACAAAGACCTGCCTGTTCCTTATATGCCTTTCACACCCATCAAACACTCAACGTGCTTCAGGATTGGTTTATACTGGCTCCTTACTTAAGGATAGAATGTGAGCTTTTACAATACCATGGTCTGGTCACTTACTTAGGTATTTGCATCAGCCAGAATAAGCTGGTTGCTGAACAAATCTCTCCCCTGGTACAAAAAGCCCATTATTTTATCAGCCTACACCACTTATCATGCTAGCGGGATATCTAACCATATATCAATATGCAGCGATGCAGTTCACTATCTTCTATTGTATGGCTGTTCGACATTAATGCTGAAAGTAGAAGACGCGGAGAAGTTACATGGTTTTATTGCAGATGCCAATAATAACATCTCTCGCACAAAGTATATGCACTACTATCTGGTTGCGGCGTAGAGTACTAGTCAAAGAAGAGAAGTCAAACGATAATGCTATGAACTTTCATCAACCGGGGTGGTTTGAAAATGAGTTACACTTGTTAAGGTACCTCCTATCTAAATATCTGATCTTAGATGAAATAGCATTCGGACGGAAGAAAGTCCAGGGTACTTACACTATGTCTACGAAGTCTTTGGCTGTTAATCTGCGCCTTTCGAGAGGACATCGGCAGCTTGACTAGGGTCCTTGAGATTTTGGGAACCAATGATTTAAAACTACTGGTAGTATACCCTAGATTTGAACCTAATGATGTAGATATACTCGTATGCTGTCACTGGGCATAGCATCTCTCTGCACTAGTGTGCGGCCAACAGAGACGATCTGTCTCCTACGTATATATGTGAATAACAACAACTTGAATATTAGAATACCAATCGCATACCTTCAGCGTTCAGTTTTCCTTCGACAACGTGGCCTACCACAAAAGGGACAGAATTCGTATTGTTATTTTCCTTGATGCGACATTGGTAATTTGTTTTACACTGGGTATGAAGAATGGCAGTTTAAAGTCAAAGACTCATACATTTTTCGTTTACGAAATGTATGTAGATGGTGTCCTCATAATCCACCATGATGACTGTGGTTTAATTGGTTTTGCAAGTGTTTAACGGTTGCGGCTTCTCAGATAAACGTTTAAGGTGGAAAAGGAATCAAAGATTTCGTTCTTGGATGTAGAACAGACCAGCTGAGATGATGGGACCCCGAGGAATCTATCTGTAGGAAACTTTAATGATCCCGTCGTGTCTCTTACCCACTCTATTCGATACATCGGCAACAGTGATCGGTTAGAAGCACAACTCATATCTCTCAAAATAGCTCTGGTTGAAGACAGATACCTGGCCTAATTTGTGGACTAAAACATAAAAACCTTAGTCGGAAAGAGGGTTCCCCAGTGATGCATTGAGTTCTGGCAACTGGATTCCATATCTGACTCCTTCCATGTGTGTTGATCAACTCAGTTGCTTCTATGAAGTCAGGCATGTAGATTGTTTGATATGTCTTTTCTCCAGACAAATTAGAGAAAATAATCCTGTAAGACTGCTAAAAAGTGAAAGTGGTGGATACATCAGAATTCCAATCACCAAGTACTTCGTCAGGACTTGTCATCGCATCATAACTGATTCATCGTTCAAAGTTATGAACGAGGTGAAAAGAAATTTACTCAAAATGGTGTGTTTCCACCTTCTATGTACTGTAAAAGCTTTTAACATATACATAGAGAACCTAAAATCATGTGTAGAAGAGAAATCTGTTAATACCTATAAACTTTAAATCACACATATGTGATTTTTCGATGTGAATGAAAAAGTTATTACTGATAATTAACTTGATCTTTGTTATAAGGTTTAACCAAATACTGCTTGTAACTATCGAGCTGAGGGGAAGGAAACACATGGAATTGAGATTGTCTAGTTGTTACGAATGAATTTACCAAAAGGTTTCTCTACACAATTTGTAAATGTTTCCATTTATTCGCAAACTAGATTTCTTAGATTTCTTTCTGTTTTTAATAATGCATTCAACATTTAACAGATGACTGCTTGAACTCTTCAAATGTAAAAGGATCACGTTAAAATACCATTCAATTGGTGATAAACAGTAACCGTTCTACAGAAATACTGCTAAAAACTAAATTCACAATGCTTTGTGAATATCTTGAATATACTTTAAGTTTTCCAATATATCTTCATATAATCAATGATATAAATAAACAAAAGAAGTGTCTAACCGTGGTACAATAAATTTCAACCTAGCAGACTACCAGGCTTTACTGTTATACAATTTCTGTATACTAATAATGACTAGAATAAGAAATTAAAGGGTGGCAGTCTGTCATTTTAGCCCGGAAAGTTTGATATCACAGCAACTAACTGACTACAAACTAGTCGTATTTACTATGTGATCAGTCAAAAAAAATATTTCATTGCCCATAAAGGTTATAATAGTAATTGAAATGGTAGCTCACCTGACTTAACAGTAAAGAGAGTGGACTGAACAATAATGAAAAATAATCCAGTAAATTTGACTAGGTTGAACATTATTCCCTTCATGTGTTGATATATTGATTTTCTATGTCAGTACAAAGTGAACTTCTCTACTTTTCTACAAAAAAGGATCATAGAAAAGATAAATAGGTTCGCATTTCAAAAGCAAGCATAATGTGTAAGTATTCTTTTTTCACACTCTAAAGAGAAGATATAACATCTCAATTTTCTGACTATGAACAATAATTAATTGCTCATCACTTCTTCATGAGCAATTAAAGTTATTCTGTATTTCCCTAAAGGATCAATTAGGCTAACAAAGTCCGGGTTCATTCTATCAAACATATCTAAAAGTTGAAGGGTATACGATCTTTTATAAGTGATGAAGACTAGTTTGATTTCAGTTAGAAGATTTTTGGGTATTTATTGAGTTCATAGTGTTATTCATAACAAGCTGACATGAGTTAGGAAGCAACTAAGAACCAAGGAGCACTGTAAAACTCTTTTATCCTAGTACAGGACTCCTCAGCAGTGTACACCTATAACCGTGCCGGGTACTAGACTCAATATCATCGAGTTTGGTGGTCAACACGTTACCACTAACCGGATGGGTTAGAATTCACTTTCCGTCAGTTCGCAGCGCACGTCAGCCATCATCCAATGCCATCGGTGAGTATTCTGTTGAGGAGTCCTATACTAGGAAGAAATACCCCTCAAATGCTCCCAAGTGTTCATTTGTTCTTCAAGTGACGTCAGTTCAAGATAGATACTAACTTGAAAAGTAATATTATTGTGCTAAGTGCAATTTTATTTTAATGTATTTCTGTTTGTAAATGAAAAAAGGTTGAGTGTTAGTTTTTACACAGAAAGAATCCATTACACAAATATGGGTTCTAAGATTAGTTATGTTGGTTAATGAAACAAGCGACCAAGTTGTTAACAGTATGGTTCGCCCGAAATTTTCTAAAGAAGGAGAAAATTAAATTGCAGAGATCGAATGGAAAGAGTCAGGTGTCAGAATCGAGGAGTGTTGATAAATAAAAGAGTAAAGTTATCCTATAGATGTTTGGGAAATCTTACCAATACATCACATTCCGATAATTCATACCTTCAACATTCATTGAGCTTCTCATGGAAAAGTGGTAAAGCAAAAGTGTAATTCAGCTAAACGGATTCTATTTTCTACGCAACTGTTGAAATATGAGATTAGTGAAAACAAACACCATTAATTCACCGTCATTCCTTTGACTACTATTCACGCAGAATTTTATTTGTACCTAACAAACCAACTGTCCAACTCATATCAGTGAATGTAAAAAATTTCCAGTCATTAGGTGTAGTGATGAAACAAGTGTGCACCGTCTACAACAATTACCTACCCCCATTTCTTCATAAAGTCTCAAAGATGAAAAATAAAAATGAATATCAGATTCCAATGAGAAGTCGTGACAGGTGGGAGCAAAGCCTGATGGTCGTGAGGATAGTTACTCAACGATGGACATTGGATGGCGGTTGCGCTATAACATGAGCCAACAGAAGTTGGAAATGTGGACCAGTGGATTCTAACTCAATGGTTCTGTGGTAACATGCTTGCCAAGGAACCTGAAGGTCGCGGGTTCGATCCCTGGCGGGGTTGTGCATGTGCACTGTTGAATCCGACGCTAGGACGAAAAAGCTGTCCATTGCTCCAAGGTTCCCTTTGTTACTCCAGTTGATGTCAGACTACGATGAATAACAACTTGGAATATCAGATCTACCACTCACCCTTTCTGGTTGGTTACCTGTATGTGCTGTTGTCTCAAAATATATCCACCTTTTAACATTATGCAGTGAGAAATATGCAGACAAACACTGAGGGACAGAGTTAATGCTTAGGCTCACTTAGACCTATTTAGTCCCTCAAGTAATAGATAAAAAAGCTTATTAGTAGGACAAAAAATCTGCAATAAGAAATTAGATACATCATTAATAACTTGCATCTCAATAATTACCAATATAAAAATACAAATAAATACGTAAGAAATCGAAAAAAAGTATGATCAGTATTATCAGTAATATTTTTATTACCAGTAATAATAATGGTGGTAAAAGTAGTGGCATGGCTGAGGAGGAATTCAAAGCCTCCATTGAGTTAGCTTACACAGGAGGTGCTTCAGAAGGTATACGAAGAATTTTCGATATGGGTGAGATTGAAGTAACATTTAAACCACCAAAATCGCTTAGTAAAATAGAGGACTTTTTATGTTAAGAGATACCTTTGATTCAATTGGGCAAAATGACTTATTTTACCGAGTCCCTTGTAATGATTATGAGGTTAAATACATAAGTCAAAGTAGTCGACTGGAGATGATTCTTCTGTAGCTGAAGCTCATTGGTCTAGATGGGTGACTGCCAAACTTCGATAAGTCAGGTAGTCTCATAAACGCTTGCACAAAATAGGTTGCTTATCGTTTAGTGAATAGAACTTTACACGATGCTTTAAACAGGTTATGCCAGTTTATCTTTTTCTATCGGTATAATATGTTTGCTTTTTGGAATTGGTCAACGATAACAGCTGATAGTGTTAATTATAGGTTTCCAGATGATCGACTTGTTACATAGTACTACTTTAAAATTATTAATAATTTAAGGGAAAAATTATTTTGTGTACTAAACATCCCGTTTCTTGAGGCAAACTGTAAGACCAATCGTCTGCATCAACGTTTTCCTTGTGTAGTAAATATTACTTACTGAAGTGAATCAGCCACAATAACAAGATTTTATAAAAATAGGATATCAGTTTCAACTGATGAACGGCTTAATACATTGATTACTTACTCAAGGATGACTAATTTCAGGTTTTCTAGCCTTAAATGTTGATCGAATTTCAACGATTATTTTGCATTGCCGCCACCAGACGAGGCGGCTCAGTACCGCGATACACTTTCGTAGATGTTAGTTGGATGGAGGCAATAGGCAGGTTGCCGTGAACTGAGATTATGAGGCTATTTGCACTCGTCAACAGGGCATATCTGCAACCTCTACAGAACTGATGTCCCCTCTAAGATTTGAACCTATATCACTCAGTGCTGCAGCGAGAGACATTATCACGCAGCTATTCGAGGAGTGACTTACCTCCTGTATGACTGGATTATCTATATCGATTAGTCACTGGAGGGCAAGCAACTTCATGTTAAGTAGTCCTAAGAGCTGGTCGAATTCTATCCATCATTTTGTAATATTTTCTGAATGCTCAGCATCATGATGCACTTTGGTTTCAAGTTGTTACAGCCGATTGGCAAAGAGCCTGCACGATAACTGTACACCATTCTCCCAGTTCCGATGTTCGACTTTTAATGTTTTATCACAAAGCTAGCTGTTTTTATCAAGCAATACTTGCTTCATAAGTAAGCTGAAGGGTAAACAATAAAGGTTGAGTAGTCATAACCTTCATCCTCAGTTGCAAATCTTCTTTAGTGCGGTATAAAGATAGTTCAGAATGAGAGTGAGTAGGAGCAAAATATCCTGTAAGATAACAGAGTATGAATAGTGAAGTTCTCATCTGAGTGTTATTTTAACTCTTTTATAAACTTTTTATGGGTATTCTGTCAGCATTTTATCATTCATATGAAGTATATTTTCAATAAACGAATCATCGAGAATTATCAGCATAAAATATTTTCGCCCCGGTTTCACAGTACTTCTGAAAAACTAAATAACGGCCGATAGTTAAACAGCATAATTAGGTGAATGATGGTTATTATTATTATTTTCCCCCTTGGGTTCTCAGTGGAACATAGGGCTTCAGTAGCACGCCTCCATTACACTCTCCTCTCTGCAATCTTTACAACCTAGCATTACAACTACCCACAAACTTTCATTTCTTCCTCACATGATCTCCTCCATGTCACCCTCACCTGGGACGCCAAACTCGTCGTTCCTCAATTCGATTCACTCGAGGACCTGGCCTGGCATGTGATGTCTCCAGTCGGCCTTCTCACTGTATGCACAATCCATCTTCCCTTTCTTCTGAATATTTGTTGGGTGATAGGTTGTTGGTTGGTTCGTTGCCAGAGTTCCTTGTTGCTTATTCTTATTATTTCGGCCATCTGAGCTTCAGTATGGAGCCAGGGTAGGCAGCAGCTGTTGATGACTTATGTCTGTAGTTTGTTGTAAGTACTTTTTGTAACGCACCAAGTTTCTGAACCATCACATAGAAGCACTGACTTCAGACTAGTGTTGAAAATCCGGATCTTGTTCCTTGTGCTGAGTACAGTGGATCTCCACACTGATTTCAAATTAATGAAAGCCTGTCTTGCTGTCTTTCCGATCCTCGTTTTGACATCCTCGTCTGTGCTGGCTGTAATTGAAACGGTGCTGCCCAGTCGAGTAGGTGAAAGAAACTACTTCCTTTAGGTTTCTCGCATTATTGGTTATTGGTGCTTGTTGTTGGTTGGGTATCTTTATCACCTCTGTCTTCTCTATATTCACTTGAAGTCCTATTTTCGCTGCCTCACCTCTTCTGATAACTTGTTAGTTTTCGCCTGTAGATCTTCGAGTTTGTGTGACATTAGACATAAATCATCATCGGCAAAATCCGAATCTTCTAGGCTTTTTTCATCGGTCCAGCCAGCGTATGTCCTTCTTCTCGCTCCTCACAGTTTGCTGCATGATCCAGTCCACCACAGTCAGGAAGATCATTGGTGATAGTAGGCAGCCTTGAATTATGGTTTAAGTTGGTGCGAAATTCCAGGTAACAGGAATAGCCTTTAGGTAGGTAACTGAGATCTCTAACCACTGGCCAGATCTCACCTTCACAATAATTATCGAAGAACTGTCTATCATACGAAGACTATCCAAAATAGTTTAGTTGACAATCGGTCAGTAATTCTGTGTCATTAAGTCAGTTTGATTTGAACCTTGGTTAAAAGATTTGTCTAGTGATCTAGAAGGGGTGATAATATGATGAGAGGAAAGCATTTTTTTTTATCTCCAAGGCATTTAGTCAGACAATTTAATGAATGTAGAGAAATTGAAATTTAATCTTAGCTTGGTTTCATGTCTCAGTGGAGAGCTACCAGTGTCAG